TCATTCTGTGTAATCTATAATTAAATTTAATATACTAAGACTGCTGGTGTCTAGTCTGTCTACTTCCTATGTTCTGTTACTTTGGCAGGTGATAAAGAAATAACTTGCACTTTTGTACAGCTAGGATCCACAACACTGTTAAGCTTGCATTTTGCCCAGGTTAATCTCAGTCGCCACAATCTAGCCCAAACCCTTATTTCCATGAGAGAGATAATCAGGGACAGTCATGTCATTTCAACAATGCATGGCACCATTCCACTGAAATTCATAGGACTGACTAAGTTATGAAAATCCTATGCATCTTTATATGAGCACAGCTAATTTTGTTCATGAGCTGGGCATCCCATTCAGTTATCAGCCCTGGAACTTAAACCACCTTTCATTTTTTTCCTGGATTATGTCCATTGGCTGCAAAAGGAGATGCAATGGCTGATATCCAAGTATTATCGCCCTGAACGTTTTGAAAAAGTGCATCCTGTAAGATTTCTGGACTACGTTACCAATTGTACGAGCATTTAAAATTGCATTACTTCTAGAACTCCCATGTGTGCAATGCGTTCAATTCTTTGGTTTAAAACGTGGGCCCAATTTTAGAAAGTTAAAGAGGCGGTGGCTGTACATCCCAGTTAAATCTATGTAATTTCTCCAGAAATCTAGAAATGAGAGGGATATGAAATCATGCATATTTGTGTTAATTACCATAAATGGGGTTGTCACTGCTTATGAACAGGGCTAAATTTATTCCATTTAAAATGCTTACAAAGATATATATATATATATATATATTTGAAGGGTGCTGATTTTATCCTTTCACCACCGGATAGCTCAGTTGATTAGAGCGTGGTGCTGATAACACCAAGGTTGCAGGTTCGATCCCTGAATGGGACAGCTGCATATTCCAGCATTGCTGGGGGGTTGGACTAGATGATCCTCAGGGTCCCTTCCGACTCTACGATTCTTTGAAAGCTAGAAGTCATTTCGCAAAGATACAAAATGGCCTCCAACGAGCAAGTGCCTTGTTTCATTTCTGAAAATATGTACTAAATTAGGAGTGTCTCTAGGTGAAAAAAAAAGGCTTAACGCATTAAGAGGCTTAGTTAAGTTCGGTGGCCTATTTTGACAATTCCGCTACAAGCCGAGTGAGCTAATTCTTCACCTTCTCACTCACCTCTAACTTCTCTATGCAATGTAAAATATGACTGTATTCTGAAAGAGATACAATGATTTGAATATCTGCCTAGAGGCATGATTATGAATGGCAATATGATTAAACTTAGATTGACAATTAAACCATCGATTTGTCTTTTCATGCTCAACTGAAAAGGGGAACCTCATGCTGTGAATGTGTATGATGCAAGACCGATCAGAGCAGTGCTGGGCTTAACTTTTTCCCAAATGAAAAGTATTGGAAATAGGATTCCATCTTTCTCTGAAAAGGATATTTTGGACCCCACTGCCTCCCTGGGATATAAAAACTATTAGGGTGCTACCTTATTATGCAAAAAGCTAAGTATTTCAAATAGACGTCATCTTAAGAAAACACGAGAAGTCTGAACATGGAAGAAAGAGTGCAAGACACCAACCTTATTTTCATTGATGACTCTGGCTCCTTTAAAGGATCATGTTCTATAAAGTTAGCCTAGGCCTCCAGAGGCTGACACTTATTGTGACTGTATTAAGGCAGAACGGTGTTGGTGGTGGGGAAGGTCTGAATTATCACCCCAAGTAGTTGTGCCACAAAAATTAAAGGCTTCAGTCTTCAATTTTCTTTGCTGTCCTTCAAGCACTGACCAGTGGCGGTTAGCTCACTGGGTTGAAGTGTGGTGCTGAAAATGCCAAGGTTGTGGGTTCAATCCCAGCATGGGCCAGCTGCATATTCCTGCCATGCAGAGAGTTGGACTTGATTATCCCTGGGGTCCCTTCCAACCCTACAGTTCTAATTCTTGGGCAGCAGAGCCTGCCAGTCAGAGCAGACAGTATTTGGCTTAATGAAACAATAGTCTGAAAGCAGCTCAGTGTGTTCCCCCAGCTGTTGGAGCTGCGTAATGGGAGTAGACCAGGTTTCCTCAACCTTGGCCCTCCAGATGTGTTGTGACTACAATTCCCATCATCCCTGACCACTGGTCCTGCTAGCTAGGGATCATGGGAGTTGTAGCCAAAAACATCTGGAGGGCCGAGGTCGAGGAAGCTTGGAGTAGACCAACATCTGGAGAGCCACAGGTCCCCCACTGCTGCAGATGGCCTGGTATCTTGACAGCCTCTGCTTAAATGCTTCTAGCAAACATCCATCATACGTCTATGGTGCAACTTTTCTGCTGGCTGATAAATTACGCGAAACATCAGCAAGAAGACTGAAAAGCTGCATATGCGATGTCATTGGGTGAAGCAAAATCTCGCTTCCATTTTCATCACCTGCGCTATTAAAAAATTATATATTACCATCTAACATTTTGCAATCACAACCAGCATCAATATTCATGCCGATCAGAACCATCAGTTCTAGATGAGCAACATGCTGCACAGCAATACACAATTAAGCACCTAAATATAAGTGCCCCATTTTTCCCTGCTGCTGTGTGGCTGCAAATCCCATCGGCATCAAATGGGAGCAGCCAATGCTGTGAATCTCTGTAAATCAGGCCAAGGCAGATCATTTACCATTTTCTTTTACTGCTTTTTATGGCTAGAAGTTAAACTATAAGGATGCAAGTCACGCTACGCTTAGTAGTTAAGTCCAACTTACATTCATACGAAAAAGTAGAAATTCCACAAGAACTCAGAAAGCCATCCCCTCCTCATTTGAAACATCAAATGAAGTTTTTCTTTTGTCCAATCCAGGAAAATAGGGTTTCACTTACCCACACTGATGTGGTGGGTAGTTGCAAGCCCCATATAACCCCAGTGTGTCAGTTGCCTCCGGTCAATTTCATTCCATTTATCTTGACTCTTGGTAGCTCTCAACTATATCAAAAGTTTGCCCCTTCCTGCATAGCCGTTAAAGCACACATTGGCCGCTGCAAGGTACGAATTGTGCCTCATCTCCCAGTTGCCAACCTGGAGGCAATAGGAGTAAATGGACATTGTGGTGACAATGGGACTTACTGGCTGTTTTCTTTTCTAGAAGGGAGGTTTAGCTTTTCAAAGTGGTCCTCCCATATATCTAACTGCTGGACAACACATTTAAGTGCCTGTTTTGTGTTTCTACAAGGTTGTTTTTTTTAAAAAAATCTCATTTCAAATATTCTACACATTTTCAGTACCATGGAATTATGCTGGTGGCAGCTCAAGATGCCACCTAAGTTTTACTGGGCTCATTTCCCTACAGCAATTCAGCTTGCATAGGTAGGGAGGCTGAAAATCGCACAGGTTGTGTAAGACCTTTATGAGTTTTCATAACCTGAAATGTGCTTCTGGAGGTTTTCCTTCCTGTCTTATGGTTCCACCTAGTGGCCACTTTTGACTTGGAAGACCAAGAAGAAATCCTTAGCATCTCTGGTTCAAAAGACTGTCTTAAGAAAAACAGAACTGGGAAAAGCTTGAGATTATGGGAAGCTACTGTCAGAGGAGACAATCCTGGGTCTAGAATGACCAATGGCCTCAACTCTAAATAAAAGAAGTTTCATATGAATACAGCCGGTCCCGAAGAAGAACAATCCCTACCAATCTGTAGGGCAGAGGTGGGAAACCCGTTTCAGCTGAAGGTGCATATTCCCTGTGGAAGACACGTACCTTGTGGGTAGACATAGCCACGGACAAAAGGAGGAGCAGCAATGCATGTAAAATGTACCTTAGTGCAGTAGGCTAGTTTCTACATACATCCCTCTATATCAGGCATAGGCAAACTCTGCCCTCCAGATGTTTTGGGACTACAACTCCCATCATCTCTAGCTAACAGGGCCAGTGGTCAGGGATGATGGGAATTGTAGTCTCAAAACATCTGGAGGGCAGAGTTTGCCTATGCCTGCTCTGTATCCTCTCTCCAGGAAAGCAAGAGGAATTGTAACAGTTCAAATATACATTCTGCAATAAAGCTGCTAGGCATATTTGCAAAGCTAAGCAGGGTCCAGTACAGTTTCATAGTGGATGGGGGAACACATATTGGGATTCCTGCATTGCAGGGGGGCTGGCCCTCAGGGTCCCTTCCAATTCCACGATTCGAGAAGAGTGCAAAAGCAGGACTGGTGAGGGGTGTGACCCAGGAAGATTTCTGAAGGGCAGACACAGAGGTCTGGAGGGTTGCGTTTGGCTCCTGCCCATCTGTCAAATTTTGTGGAAAGATTTAAGGATCTGGTCTGCCAACTAGGAAAGGTTCCACATCCTTGTTGGTATTGGTATAGCTGCTCCAGCTCTTGTGTGAGTTTCCCCCCAGTCAAATTCACCTTACATTTTTTTCAACAGAAGCTGTGTGGTTTTGTCAACACAGTGGTAGCTCAGGTTAAGAACTTAATTCATTCTAGAGGTCCGTTCTTAACCTGAAACTGTTCTTAACCTGAGGCAACACTTTAGCTAATGGGGCCTCCCACTGCCGTCGCGTGATTTCTGTTCTCATTCTGAAGCAAAGTTCTTAACCCGAGGTACTATTTCTGGGTTAGCAGAGCCTGTAACCTGAAGTTTCTGTAACCCGAGGTACCACTGCATTTGGTTACTGATGCAGTCACCTCAACAATCGTTCCATGATATCACTGCATCTCAGGGTCACAGATCAGATGATGACCATATTCTCACAATATTGCCATATTGCCACAAATATAGGGAGTTGTGGGTAGGTGGGTGGGATGAAGTGCTGTCTCTCTCCTACTCATATACGTAGTTGCCTGATAATAACTGAAGTTTCTCCTGAGATGCAGAACTGCTTGACGCAATTGCTTGACTTCAAACTCTAAAACCAAAACTCAGGCAAGATACGAGGCCTCATTCTAAACTGGCATGCTAAACAAAGTTGTTGTTTTTTTAATATCACATACCAAACCAGCCCCCCAAATGAAACCACACCTTATTGATCAATTTCTGTTATGATGCTTATTTGAAAAGCATTTAATATTGTGCCTTATGTAAATTAAAATTGTTCAGCCTTGAAAATGTATAAAAGTCAGTCAATTAATACCAACATTAGTGAAATTTATAGTGCTTGAATTTCTATATAAAAAATATAGTTTGAAAGAAAGTTATGAGCCTTTTGTTTTCCTTATCATTTCTTCCATCTTATTCCATTCTTCACTGGTAACCTAGCATAGAAAATAAAACATTTTAGATGAGATACTACAGGTTTTTTCCGTCTTTGAGTTTTATGCAGACATAATGGGCACAATCAAACATCTTTCTCCATTGAAATGAACGTGATTAAAAGCTTACTTTTGGCGGGATTGAACCCTAAACATATAATTTTCTACATTTCTGATGTTCAGGTGTGAGTGCCAGTGCTTACATCACCAAAACAACATTACCCATGCACAAGAGGGAGGTATTAGAAGGGTGTGGGCTTACAAACTCCATTAAAGGGGGGGGGAATAGTGAAGACACAAACACCCTGAAAAAACTGCCCAGTGAAATCTGAGCATTGTTTGGTGACATTGGAAGGCAGAATGACAATTTCATTCTGCAATGAATGCTGCAACATTTTTTTTTGCCGATCCAACTTGCAAGTTATTACCTTGGTTAGGTGATTAAACTCTCCAGCCATAGAGACGTATTCACCACCATCCATTCTAATGACCTGCAAGATTAAAGCACATTTTCCCCCATTAAGCCACTCCCAACAATAATCTGAACTGAATTAATGTTTTCTATTTAGTAAAAACATAATGGAAAGCACCATTCAACAGAACTAGTTGTGCTAGAATATGCACAAGCTGCTTTTTCCATCAACTAAAGCTGCAAATAATTTTAAAGAAGTCAAAGGAGTATTTCCCAATGAATTTGCATGGAGCTTGTCTAGCCCCAAAGAAAGCATTTAGCCCCCTCTAATGGGACCAGGTGGAAATGGCTTCTGGATCACAATATTCTAGCATCAGTAGCAATGAGCTTCGGGCACCCCTAGCAACTAGAATGATAACTTACTGCTCCGTTAATCCAACTTGCATAATCACTACAGAGGTAGGTGGCAAGATTGGCAATCTCTTCTATTGTTCCCAGACGCCCACAAGGAATTCTCTTGAGCATTTCTCTCTCAAACACACCTTCTGGGTCCAAACGGCTGAAAGCTCCCTGAGGAAAATTATCGAGAGAAACTATTGCTTTCGGAACTCTGCTAGAGGCCATCTGAAAAAGTTTTATACTTAACAATCATGGGTAAAAGTAAAGTGACTGTGTAGCACAGATCAAGCAAGTGTCAAGTGGGGAAATAATGTGGGTAACTCTAGTAGACTTGTATCTCCTGAAACACTAAATGTCATACATTTCGCCCAGGCAACCATATCACGCAGAAAAATACTCCTTAATGAGCCAGAAAACAACAACACAAAAAACCAATGTTAGATATGTATAACGTGTAAGTTAGATAATAACTGGGGTAAGTAGATAATAATTTATGCCATGAGATTATCTATGTTAATTAGTATTTATTATTATAAATTGCATCTATAGGATAATTTTATTTTTTGAATTGTAAATATATTACTTATTGACATATATTGTTTATTATGTTCTATTTCGGGACGTGGGTGCTGCCGTGGTCTAAACCACTAAGCCTCTTGGGCTTTGCGATCAAAAGGTTGGTGGTTCGAATCCCCGTGATGGGGTGAGCTCCCATTGCTTTGCACCAACTCCTGACAACTTAGCAGTTCAAAAGCACACCAGTGCAAGTAGATAAATAGGTACCACTGTGGTGGGAAGGTAAATGGTGTTTCCGTTCACTCTGGTTTCCTTCATGGTGTTCCGTTGTGCCAGAAGCAGTTTAATCATGCTGGCCACATGACCCGGAAAGCTGTCTGTGGACAAACGCCGGCTCCCTTGGCCTGAAAGCGAGATGAGCGCTGCGACCCCATAGTCGCCTTTGACTGGACTTAACCGTCCAAGGATCCTTTACCTTTTTTTTTAACCTATTATGTTTTATTTATTATGCTACATTGAAAACTGTCCTGTGGCCTTTGATGAAGTGGTATATAATTTTACAAAGTTGTTGTTTTTTTAAAGAGAGAATGAAGATGGATAATGATTATATGTGCTTCCAAGTTCTATTTAAACCAGCATTTATTTGCACCTCTCCTTCACAAAATGGTGCTCAAGGCAGCTATGAGATCTGTCTCAAGTAGAACTGAAATTGGGCTCAAAGACCCAGTCACTAAAGTCAATCTGATGTCTCGGCCAGTTATTTAATGGCTACAAAACATGATCATGTACCTTAGTCTTTATTGGGCCTGGTTGAATCACATTGAATCTCATGCCATATTTACCCCATTCCGCTGCAAGAGACCTAGAAATTCACGAAGAGACTTTGTAAGTATTCGGCATATAAAGAGGATTAGAAGTAAAAATAAAAATGTATCTGGGCTTGCACACTAGGTTTTCTGTTCATAGGTCCCTTCCCAATGGAGAAGAATTATACACATAGAGGGGAAAAACAGTCGTGGGGAAATAAGGAGGAAGTGAATAGGAAAGAAGGAACTCTGATGGGATAGACAAATGAAGCAGCTTCAGCGGGTGTTGGGGTAACATGAAGTAAGGTTGCCCCTAGGGCAAAGGTTGCCCTTCTGTGCTAACCCTACCCTGTTTGTGGGCTACGTCCACTGAGGATAATGCAGGAATTCCTGTAGGTTATGAATCACGTGGATCTGTTTTAATCATAGTTCAAGCAGAGGCAGATTTAGGACTGGTTCTGCTACTGGCTGCTGAGCCTAAGGGGCGCTGCTGGGCAACACAGCTATGGTCTGGTGAACTGAGCAGAACAGAAGGCAAGAGGCAGGGGGAACCGAATTTTGTTCTTGCACAGGGCACTGAAAGGCCAAAGTCCACCTCTGATTCAAGCACAGTTTGGGGAATGCATTCGACAGCTGGAATGCGACTCTGGTCATTTGGCTGCTTTTGATACCTTTGATCAAGTATCCTCTTGGGCTGCCTAGGCAGAATGGGTATTGGGGTTAATATTTTATCCTACCCTACCTACGGGGCCATGTCCAGAAAGCAACAATGGGAGACTGTTTCAGCACCACGGTCCTTGTACTATGATCTACAGCAGGGTACAATCTTGTCCACAATGCTGTTTAACATCTATATGAAGCCATTCAGATTTGAACTTCCGGCACCTACTGAATAATTAGTTTAATCCAGCAGGCATTTTAACTGAAGCCTGATTTTATAGTTCTAACCACTGTTAGCCTTTTTTGTATTGTATTCCTTGTAAAACATTTTGAGGTTAAAGTAGTACCTCGGGTTACATACGCTTCAGGTTACATATGCTTCAGGTTAGACTCCGCTATCCCAGAAATAGTGCTTCAGGTTAAGAACTGTGCTTCAGGATGAGAACAGAATTTGTGCTCCAGCGGCGCAGCAGCAGCAGCAGGTCCCATTAGCTAAAGTGGTGCTTCAGGTTAAGTACAGTTTCAGGTTAAGAACTGACCTCCGGAACGAATTAAGTACTTAACCCGAGGTACCACTGTACTGTGGTTAAATGGTATATGATTTGTTAAAATAAAGTAAAAACCCAATGAAATATGAATTTTTTGAACCCACCACAATGGCAAACAGCCGCTTCTCGCTCCAGTTTTGTCTCTTTTAGGTTGGTCTATTTCAGCCTTAAGAGGGAGTGTTTTTTTTTAAAAAAAATGAGGGGGACAAGTGCTGACAGATTACTTACTTGCACAGGCCTTCAACGCCGGCTTTGGCAGAAGCACTTGGCGACACAAACCCCGACCCACTTTCTGCATAAATTGTGGTGATGGCTAGAAAGGCTGCTCCTGGAAGATGCAAGATTTTTAAAAAATTAATTATACGTATTGCTCTCCTTTCCAAACTATCAGTCTCCTAAAACAGGTGAAATCAATGAAGGAGAGAGACAGAGAGACAGTGGAGATTGGACTCTACAATTCTCTACTTCTATGAAAATAAACCTTGAGGTTTTCAGGGTTCCAAGAAGGCTCCACCCCCAAAAAAATCTATTTCTTGTCCAAAATGGTATTCAGTAAGAAAAGGACAAGCTCTGTCAATCTCAATTTACCTTTTCGTGCTTTAATCAGTTCTTTTCCAATTCCCAGAGTTATATAGGCAGTACCGTTAAGAACAATATCTGTGATTGTCCTCCACGCATTTGGAGAAAGACGTTCAGAAGGAGATATAAAATTCCCAGCTGCATTATTTATTATAACCTGAAAGAGAGAAAGAAAGCTTAAATATTTGCTGAAATTGGTCTTCTGCACATTTAAGATACTCGGTGGTGGTTTCAGAAATTCCAGGAGAATTTTTACATAAAAACAGAGTGGCCCAATTCACACATGGTTTAGCACAAATGACAAGAGTGCAGGTTCCTGGAGGGAAGATCAGAGCCATCCTGCTCATTCCCTGGTCCTGCTGCCAGCCCACTGCTTGGGGCTAAGGCATGGTTTGCCTCTGTGCTAGAACTGAACCAGGGCTCGTGGTTTGTCTGGAGCAAGACAAACTACAAGCCTGTGTTCAGACGTAATGCTAATCCAAATTGTGGCTTAACATCAGCTAGGGAGGCAGCAGCAGGACTGGGGGTGCAGGTGACAATTTCAGTCCAGGAAACCATATCTTGGTTCATGTGTGCTGAGCCACGGTTTGGCTTAAAGATACACACACTCCGAGTCAGTATAACCTACCAGCACCTTTTACAAAAGCAAAAATCAGCAGCGCAGAGAAAAACCAAGTAACCATTTTGGTTTTAAAAGCTTTTGCATCAATTCCAGTATGAGTTCCAACCGAGCAACGCCAGTCAACCACAGTTGTCCTCTTGAGTTTAACTCACAAGACACGAGCAAAGAGATGGTGACTTTATCTAACTGCCCTTTGGCCAGTAAGAAGTATATTAGAGCAGTGGAACCCTCCATTAACAAAAAATACATCTCCTATCCACTGCTTTCAAAACTTTTAACAAGCTAATTCCGACAGGTTTGTGATGCAAGTTGGAGCTGCAGCAAAATGTTGAAACAGTGAGTGCTCTCATGTGGAGCTTCAGGCAATCAGCCATACCTTCTTCCAGGATAGTCCAATCTATTTGCCTTCACAACTGTCAGTAAGCACTGTGTGGCCACTGAGCATGCTCAGTCCTCCCTGGGATCTATTCCCATGGATTTTGCTCTATGGGTAGATTCAACTGAACATTACTTTTGAAAATATTAAAATCTTTCAGAATCCTTTTCAATTCATTAGCTTGCTTACATTTAGAAGGGTGTTTTTTTTTAATGCACACTGAGTTGGATTTTTTCCAGTAATGATTAATTAAAGTTTTGAATTAGGATACTCACACTGGGGTGTCCAGCCACTTCAATTAATTGAGAAATTGCATTGCTAACAGATGCTGGATCTCTCACATCGCACTGAACTGCGTGGACCTGTGTAATAAACTATTATCAATATATCCACTACCAGCAGCAGAAAAGAAAAAGAAAGAATTAAATATATTCTTACATACATAAAATCCCATGACTGAATGCACCATTAATACCATTTGTTATTTAACAATACCTTATTTCCCGTTTTAGAAGAAATTTCTTCTGCGGTTTGTTTCAATACATCAAGTTTCCTATAAATAATTACACATTACGGTTGAGTTTCCATTACAGCCATATACTGTACATCAAACTTCTGGGGTTTCTTTCTTAGCATTTTGGTAAAAGCTTAGCAGTGATTCCATGTGTGATGTGGCAGACTGAGAATGAAGAGCTTTGTCCAATGCTTCTCCCATTCACAGCAGACTGACTGAGATTAATGGATCTAAGTTATTAATGTTAATTCATTTCAGTGGGTGTACTCTGAGTAGGACTAGCATTGGACGCAACACAGTAAGTTCTATTTCAGACTGAAGTTGCTGTTGTGGAAACATCTTATTAAATACAACCAGAGGTTTCTCATTGGGGCGGCAGATACACTTAGTGCTTGCTCTTTTATTTCTGAGGCTCAAAATTCATGTCTCCCCCTCCCCCTGCTCAATTTAAACCCCATAGGCTGTGTTAAACTTTGGGCAGAATATTACCTGCACCCTTAAAGGAGTAAAAAGTTACTTACATTCCACTATATCCCAGGAGCATTTAACATCTATGAAGATTTTACGATTTTTAAAATAATTTTTATTCCTTTTTGTTCCTTCAAATAAAAGTTCATGTTTGGATGAAGTGTTTTGCCTCTCTCAATATTATACCATTAAACAGAAACAAAAAGTACCGTTTAATAATATTTTCCTATACAGTCATACCTCGGGTTACAGACGTTTCAGGTTGTGTTTTTTCAGGTTACGGGTTACTTCCGGGTTTCAGCGGTCGTGCATGTGCAGAAGCGCTAATTCACGCTTTGCGCATGTGCAGAAGCACCGAATCGCAACCCGTGGATGCGCAGATGCTGCAGGTTGCAAATGTGCCTCCCGCACAGATCACATTCGCAACCCGAGTGTCTACTGTACACATAAAAATGTAAGGATGTCATTGCACAGCCCTTATTGGAGGATTTGTATTGCCTAATGGATTTGTATGAAGTTAGAGTGGGAGCCAAAGAGAAGGCAGGCTGCACAATCAAGAAGGGAAGGGCACTGAGAGGGGAGAAGTGGTAGTTTAAAACGATGGCATGAATTTGAATCAAGGAGGGATGGAGATAACAGAGGAAAATGGTGGTTTCAAACAACAGCAGAGGCTTCAGTAAACTAGCGTCAAACAGCGGAATATCTGAGGGCTTTGCATCCTTTATCTCTTTCACATGAGGCAGCTGAGGAACGGAAGAGAGGGACAAGTTTGACCAAAGCAAGAATGGAGAAACACTGAAAGCAGAAAAGTGGATGTTTAAAAGCAACAGCAGAAATTTGGGTAAAGCACACTGAGAGGAAATTTTTCAGTTTTGAACAGCATAAGAAGATGCAGGTCACCATGTGGTTGTGGCACAAAAAGAGAGGGGAGAAGGTGTTGACATGGGGGCAAAGGTTAAAACAGGGGCGGAAAATGGAGCTAACTCATTCTTATGAATTTAGTTCAGTCATGTTTTTGGGCACAGTCACACTTATTTAGGTAAACAAACGGCGCCCCCAAAAGGACCCCACAGAACAAAAATCCACTACTGAGTCTTGGTGTGATTGTCTGAATGGTCCTTCAGTGTCAATTCACAACACACTGCTCAGTGAACTTGGATTTCTTAAATATTGCCTAACTGCTTAAAAAAACCAGAAGAATCCATTGCGCAATCCTAGAGTTGCATCCCACGAAGTTAAAATGAATGGGCCTAAGTTACCTTAGCGCCACTGAGTAGGGCTAACACGTCTACCCTAAATGTGTTTGCTTCCTCCCTGTGCTCAGTGGGTCTTACTGCCAAGTAAGTGTGCAGAGGACTCCATACTGAGAACTGTACCCTCCATCTTAAAAGACTACATCATGCAAAATGCAAAAGATGCTCTTACCGGCTTGCTATAACACACTCTGCTCCCAAAGCAGAAAGAGCAGCTGTCATCCCTTTCCCAATGCCAGTGCCACCTCCTGTGATAAAGGCCACTTTGCCATGAAAAGTATCTGATGGCAGCATCACTTTCTGAAGTGGTGCGAAGGCACGATCAGCTTGATACATTACTTTTGTTCCATTGCTTAAAAGCTGAAAAAGGGAAAGAAGACAATTTACCATGTTTTACAGGTTAATAAAACCTAGATAATTCTCAGCTATAAAGCTACTGTGGATATAGTTATTTTTTAAAAAAACACCATTGATGTGAATACCAATAGCAATACTTAGCATCTGTGTATAGCACTTACAAGTTGAAAACTTTATGTCGTGGGTAGGCAAACTAAGGCCCAGGGGCCGGATCTGGCCCAATCGCCTTCCAAATGCGGCCCGCGGACAGTCAGGGAATCAGTGTGTTTTTATATGAGTAGAAAGTGAATGAATGAATGAATTTATTAATACGGTCACAGACCAGCGTCAGCACACACAATATCACAGATCAGAGTAGAAAGTGTGCTTTTATTTAAAACGCATCTCTGGGTTATTTGTAGGGCATATACAGTGGTACCTCAGGTTAAGTACTTAATTCGTTCCGGAGGTCCGTTCTTAACCTGAAACTGTTCTTAACCTGAAGCACCACTTTAGCTAATGGGGCCTCCTGCTGCCGCTGCGCCGCCGGAGCACGATTTCTGTTCTCATCCTGAAGCAAAGTTCTTAACCTGAAGCACTATTTCTGGGTTAGCGGAGTCTGTAACCTGAAGTGTATGTAACCCGAGGTACCACTGTATAATATATATAATATAGTCCAGCCCACCACATGGTCTGAGGGACAGTGGACCAGCCCACAGCTGAAAAAGGTTGCTGACCCCTGCTTTATGTGCATTATCTAATTGTAAACTTTACAGCATGAGTGAAGAATTGGCTCTGGCCAGCAGACCAGATCCTTAATCTCCCCCCTGTCACCCCACCCATGGGATGATTGAAGTAAGGAAGCCTAGGGGGTTTAATTAGTGCTGTGGTGCAGAGATTCTCGACAACTACATTATATCAACTCTGTAAAGTAAATCTGATTTATTTATTAGGCCCTTCTGAATCAGGCCTAAGGTCCATCTGTTCTCACAGTGGTCAATCGGCCCATGGGAAGCTCACAAGCAGAACCTGAGCACAACAGCACTCGCCCTACCAGCAATTCCCCATACTGTGGGAGGGGGAGAATTGACCTGAGAGTTGCTTGCCTAATGAGCTTCTCTCTTAACCATATACCAACTCTCTATGAACAAATACAAAACATCTTACCCAGCCCATTTGAGTGAGTGCTGGACATTCATGCTATCCCGCATTTGATAACAGCTTAAGAAAACAACTTTTTAAAGAAAACTGTCATTCTCAAACACCGGGTTCAAAGTTCACATTCCTGCAGCCTGATCTTATCTCCATTTAGAGCACAGGCTTCAAACAAATAGCTCTGGATTGGCCAAGGAGCCTCTTAACTGAGCTCAGTAAAGTGTTCAAATGCTGTGGACTTCAGTATTGATACAATTCCCATTGAAACCAATGGAGATCATTAAAATGAGCTCCGGACTCTGGAAAAGTACTGAGCAAATACCAGTTAAGCAACCTCTTATTTACCTGTGGTGGGGTGGGGGTCCCAAAAAGCTGCTTCAGCCTGCATAAGGAGCTTTTTCTACTGTAGAATTTTGGAATGAAAATCTGAGCAGCTGATACCCCACCCCCTAAACACTGCAGAATGGCAGTGGTGGCATTACAGTTCTCTGCTGCTGGTACATCTGCTGATAAGTGGATTAAAATTGGCATGATCCTGCGAAGGAACATATTTTTCAGCACCTTTAAAGGCTGTCCCATTTTATGCTGTCCTACCTTTTGTTTTTTGACATTTTACCTTTAGTTAAGTAATTAAGATACAGATATATACACACACTATTCTTAGTCAATTCTTAGGGGCAGAATTTGACGGTAATTCCCATTTAAATGAGGTGTGCGTGTGTAATGTCATGTGATCGATTATGCGGGGTGGGGCTTACCTGCCCCCCCATTTTATTGAAGTTGGCACCCCTGCATATACACACAGCGCCTTGCAAGCAGAAAACTAGCAGAGCCAGGGAGACGAGGGGTCTTTCTATGTAAGGGGGAGATTTGCTCCTCCATCCGATGCATAAACAAATTTATACATACTGTATAGCTTAAAGGCAGATGTTTCGCAAATTTACACCACTTATTCCCGTCGGGAGGTGCGGCAAATTTCCAGCGTATGCATATCCAGGCGGAGCACAGAGCACCTTACCCGCACAGGTGAAGGAAGCAGCCGCGGGACTAGCCTGGCCCTCACTCCACGCAGCACCGCCACCAACGCCATCTTTTCCTACTTCTGAGCCCTGTCCGAACAGGGAGTTCCACTAAGCCCCGCCCCCGCCTGCCCCGCCCCCTAAATGTCCAATCAGAGATGGAAGAAGCTGAAGGGCGGGGCTCGATGGAACGCGCACGCTTCGGTCACGCCCCCTTCGACACAGAGGCCACGCCCCACCCCTCGGAAAACTTGAATGGCCACTGCGCCGATGTATTTATTGCCTGCAGATTTATCAATGAGCTTGAATTGATCTAGAGCTGCCAGGCCCCGATCAGCAATCCAACCTTTTCAAGCAAGCAGGCGCAGAAGTGGAGTCATATGGAGAGCCGGAGTGCCTTTCCTGGCCGCTGCGTAACCTTCATCAGCCTGTGTTGCCCCCTGTCCTGTATTCATCCAGGATTGTCCCGTTATTTCAATGTAAAATGTTACATACAGTTTTGTTTTGTATTTCAGGTCTTCTCTCTCTCTCTCTGCCAAGTAAGGGATCACGTGTTTGAAAGAGTGTGTGAAAGGTCATGTATTTAAGATAACCAAGCACAGACACATTTACAAATTCATGCGTGCGCGAGTACGTGCGCGACAAATGTCAGAGGGGCCATCCTGTTAGGCTGCAATAAATTGAAGTGGATTGCTTCGAAGTCACTTCACTACCAGATGGGGGGAAAAAATCGCCCACCAACCGCCTTGCCCTTACCACCCCACCCCCACCCCCGCTTAGACTTGTAATATTTCAGATTGAGACACAGGTCTGGTTTCAACATTCCGAGAAAACGAAGGGAATCGGGAAACCGCGTCTCAACAATTTTCCTACTTCTGTTCTCTTAAGAACTAAACTTGCTTTAAAAAAAAATAGAGAAAAGGTCACGCATGCGCTCAATTGTCGGAGGTCTTCCCTCCGCTCTCTGTAGGAGGCGCTGTTCTCTCAGTCTGGGCTCTCGCGATGTCGTCGCTGTGCCAGCCTCCTCGAAAGGCGCATGCGCGGTGTGCAGAGAAGAGGTGCGTCGCCTCGGGCAGCTGCTCTGAGGTGGAGAAGAGGGGCTGGGGAAGCTGGTGAAGATACAAAGGCGAGGCGAGACGGGCCGGGCCTTCCGGCTTCTTTCCGGCTCAGGATGTGGAAGTTGAGCCCAGCTGACGAGTCCGGGCCAGGTGAGGAGCGGAGCCTGAGGGGGAGGGGGCGTGTCCTGGGCAACTGGTCTCACTCCGGTTTGACGCCTGTTGGTTCTACCGCCTTCCGGCTTCTGCGTGTTGATTGGTTGGTTCAGCCTGTCCTGGCTCGCCGCGTTTGGGCGGGTTGGAGAAGCGGTAGTTAGCCAATTAGCCGATGTTTACTTTGGGAAACTGGGAGGTGGGGGGTGGGCTTCGCATTGAGAGCAGGTGTGGGGAACTATTGCTGAAGCATGACTCCCATCAGCTCCAGCAAGCATCGCCAAGGGCAAGGAATGATGGGAGTTGTAGTCCCATCAATGATTCTCCTGCAATGATTTTGCAAAGTTTTTTGCAGATAAAATCGCTCAGATTCGGGAAGAAGTAGACTCCACCGTGGGAGCAGGGCCGGGGCAGGAGAGTGCTAGAGTTCTGTCTAGTCAAGTTGAGTGGGATCAATTCCAATCTGTTACCTCCGAGGATGTGGACAGGCTGCTTGGACGAGTGAAACCAACCACCTGTCTCCTGGATCCTTGCCCATCCTGGCTTATAAAAGCTAGCCGGGAAGGACTGGGCAATGGGCTTCGTGGGGTGGTGAATGCTTCCCTCCGTGAGGGAGCCTTCCCAGACCCGCTGAAAGAGGCGGTTATTAAACCGCTTCTTAAAAAACCATCTTTAGATGCGGCCACGATGGCCAACTATCGCCCAGTCTCAAATCTTCCATTCCTGGGCAAGGTGATTGAGCGAGCGGTTGCCGAACAACTCCAGGCACGCCTGGAAGAAGCGGACCATTTGGATCCCTTCCAGTCGGGATTCAGGCCTCATCATGGGACTGAAACTGCCTTGGTCGCACTGGTTGATGATCTCCGGCGGGCTAGGGACAAAGGTGAGAGCTGTTTCCTAGTTCTGCTGGATCTCTCAGCGGCCTTTGATACCATCGACCATAGCATCCTTCTGGACCGTCTTGAGGGGCTGGGAGCTGGGGGCACTGTTATACAGTGGTTCCGCTCCTTCCTCCTGGGCCGTGTTCAGAAAGTGGTGGTGGGGGATGAGTGTTCAGACCCCTGGGCTCTCACTTGTGGGGTGCCTCAGGGTTCTGTCCTCTCCCCCATGCTTTTCAACATTTACATGCAGCTGCTGGGAGATATCATCAGGAGGTTTGGGCTGGGTGTTCATCAGTATGCGGATGATACCCAGCTCTACCTCTCTTTTAAATCAGAACCAGTGAAGGCGGTGAAGGTCCTGTGTGAGTGTCTGGAGGCGGTTGGAGGATGGATGGCGGCTAACAGATTGAGGTTGAATCCTGACAAGACAGAAGTACTGTTTTTGGGGGACAGGAGGCGGGCAGGTGTGGAGGATTCCCTGGTCCTGAATGGGGTAACTGTGCCCCTGAAGGACCAGGTGCGCAGCCTGGGAGTCATTTTGGACTCACAGCTGTCCATGGAGGCACAGGTCAAATCCGTGTCCAGGGCAGCTGTTTACCAGCTCCATCTGGTACGTAGGCTGAGACCCTATCTGCCTGCGGACTGTCTCGCCAGAGTGGTGCATGCTCTGGTTATCTCCCGCTTGGACTACTGCAATGCACTCTACGTGGGGCTACCTTTGAAGGTGACTCGGAAACTACAACTAATCCAGAATGCGGCAGCTAGACTGGTGACTGGGAGCGGCCGCCGAGACCATATAACACCGGTCTTGAAAGACCTGCATTGGCTCCCAGTACGTTTCCGAGCACAATTCAAAGTGTTGGTGCTGACCTTTAAAGCCCTAAACGGCCTCGGTCCAGTATACCTGAAGGAGCGTCTCCACCCCCATCATTCTGCCCGGACGCTGAGGTCCAGCGCCGAGGGCCTTCTGGCGGTTCCCTCATTGCGAGAAGCAAAGCTACAGGGAACCAGGCAGAGGGCCTTCTCGGTAGTGGCGCCCACCCTGTGGAACGCCCTTCCAGCAGATGTCAAAGTGATAAATAACTACCTGACATTCAAGAGACATCTTAAGGCAGCCCTGTTCAGGGAAGTTTTTAACATGTGATATTTTATTGTATTTTTGGTTTTTATGGAAGCCGCCCAGAGTGGCTGGGGAGGCCCAGCCAGATGGGCGGGGTATAAATAATAAATTATTATTATTATTATTATAGTCCAGCAAAACATGGGGGGTGGCCCGCAGGTTTTCCACATCCTTGCTGTAAGGTGGAAGGGGTGGCTAAAGTCCTGTCTCCAGCTCTCCATCCACATGAATAAAGAATAAAATCGGCGTTATACCAGAGGTTAATTAAAATTTGGTTGTGTTTTTCCCATTTCAGGACAGTCATACCACCTCTTAGTTGGTGTCGAGTATGTTGTCGGACGTAGAAATTGTGCCATTTTAATTCAAGCGGATCAGTCCATCAGCCGAAGCCATGCAGTCCTTTCAGTTAGTCACCCTCAAGCGAACCTTGTAAGTACCAAATGTACAACATTATGAAATTGCATCATGCGATTTTTATCATAATTTCTGCAGTTATAGAATGTACAGCACCACCTCAGTCAAGCCACAGATTTCTTACTGCTCCCAGATTTTTAGACCTCATCTAACAAGATTATGTTTTGGATGTGTTTTACTCAATATGTTTACCAAATGAAAAAAGTAGCTACCAGATATAGCAGCCTTTATTAGCTTGGCATCCTCCAGGTATTTGGGGCTAAGAGTCATGTGCTGGCTGTCACTTAGAACTATAGTCCAAAACACCTGTAGAGCACCAGATTGAGGAAGGCTGAGATAGAGGGTTAATGCTAGAAACAAAAAACACAATGACCCAGTTTGCGTATCACAATAAACTATAGATAATGGTTTGCCATCAACCCCTCTGTCTGAGTGAAACGTAGGGAAAACATTTGATCCCTTCCTTAGTGTTACATCCAAACGAATAATTGTGTTTTGTTTTGCTTCAACAAACCACAGTCAGTAAGCCAAGAGTAAATATTGCCTATAGATTGTTACACTCCCAACAAACCACGATGTGTGGTTTGGATAAAATGAACTCAGTTGCTATTGTTGGTACCTGAAATGTTATTTTTATTTTTATTTTCAGACTCAGTCTTCTACATTTCCTGTGTTAACTTTAAAAGACACTTCTAAATATGGTACCTTTGTTAATGAAGAAAAACTAGCAAATGGTACTACTAGAACTTTGAGGTCCGGTGACAGAGTCACTTTTGGAGTCTTTGGAAGCAAGTACAGGTAAGATCAATTTGTGCTCATCTTAAAATGTTCATGGCTATGCTTGTTTGAATGTCATGGAATATGTCTGAGGACTAATTAGAAATGGACAAAAATAGTCATTCTCAGCTGTGAATCTTACAAAGGGTGTGAGTTCCCTTGCAAATGTCTCTACTCTTAGATCATGATACATTCCTGCCATAATCTTTGCTTCAGTAGCTCTGCCTCCCTCCACTGTCTGAAGGCCTCCTGTTGCCTCAGATATTCCACCTTAGCTGTTCTGTACAGTTGGAAATGCCTCCTAGAACACTGTCATGGTGCCAACTCTTACTTCTTTCAAAATGCACCTTTTCTATAAGACCTTTGCCACAGCCCCTTAGATGCTATGCTTCACTGTAGCTGAACCTGTAATTGAGCTTAAGTACATGCAACTGAGGGATGCGGGTGGCGCTGTGGTCTAAACCACTGAGCCTAGGGCTTGCTGATCAGAAGATCGGTGGTTCGAATCCCCGTGACGGGGTGAGCTCCTGTTGTTCGGTCCCAGCTCCTGCCCACCTAGCAGTTTGAAAGCATGTCAAAGTGCAAGTAGATAAATAGGTACCGCTCCGGAGGGAAGGTAAACGGCATTTCCATGCGCTGCTCTGGTTTCACCAGAAGCAGCTTAGTCATGCTGGCCACATGACCCGGAAGCTGTCTGAGGACAAACGCCGGCTCCCTCGGCCTATAGAACAAGATGAGCACCGCAACCCCAGAGTTGTCCACGACTGGACCTAACAGTCAGGGGTACCTTTACCTTTACCTTTACATGCAACTGAAACCACTATGTTGCTTCCCGTGTCAAATTTAGATTGATAAGCTCTTCAGGGCAGGGACCTCTCCCTGTAAAGGACCACACACTCAGTTGCTATTATTTAACTAAATAAAGTAATAATATTGTGTGTTTCTTTTAACACTACTTTGCAGAATACTCTATGAGCCTTTGGTAGTGTGCTCTTCGTGCTTAGCTGTTTCACAGAAAAGTGCTTTAAGTAAAAATATTCTACAGCTGGGAGGCCATGCAGTGAATGAGTGGAAAGAAGGATGTACTCATCTTGTTATGGACTCAGTCAAACTTACAGTTAAGGTGAGTTGTGACATTTCAAGTGCATCTGATATGCAAGCGTAATACTGATTTTTCTGAACTGTGCATTGCAGTAAACTGGTCTGTAGTCCTATATGCCACAAACCGTTCTTTCATATTCCCTTTCCTGTCAATTCACTTTAATATTTCATTGGAAAATTGAGACTTCCTGGCAGCAGGCACTGGAGAATTGTGACATTTTTTGTGAGGCATCTTTGAGCTTTAACAATGCAGTCATGCACATAATTACTTGGAAGTCCCAATATGTTCCTTGGGGTTTACTCTTAGAGGTGTGTAGTGGATTACAAATAGCCATTATGGAGACAAATAAGAGGGAGTGTATTTTTGGCATTCCAGAAGATGTGGAGCTGACACTGATGGCCATGCAATGAACAATTTAATAGAAAGATAAAAACAACGAAGTTAGGACATAGGAGGGTGTGGATTTGGCATAAATCTTTGGATTCGAGTGCAGGAGTGAGAAGAGAAGTTGAATTGTATAGAGTTAGCAAGAAAGCTGCTGTAAAGCATATGAGTAAAGGAGATGAATGATTTAGAAGTACTTAGGAGTTGAGTGTAATTCAGGCTTCCTCAACCTCGGCCCTCCAGATGTTTTCATACAATTCGCATCATCCCTGACCACTGGTCCTGCTAGCTAGGGATAATGGGAGTTGTAGGCCAAAAACATCTGGAGGTCCGAGGTTGAGGAAGCCTGGTATAATTTCTGGGGCTCAGTTTGGTATTGATGTGTTTGGGAGTGATGGGAAGGTAACCATCCTGGCAGAGTTCGTTGTTATATGGGGCATTAAGGTGTGCTGCTGATGGGAGGAATTGATAAGGCAGTGAGAACGGTGTCCACAGACAATGGCAGCAAAAGGGTTGTAGTTTTCTGTTTTAAGAGGGTACCAGTAACCAGTGGGTTGTGAGACTGGGGTAGAGAGATGTGAGTGAAAGGCTGGGAATGAAGACAGGTTAGAGAGAGCGTGCAGCGTTTTTGTACTATTGTAAATTATGGTAGTGATTATCTGCTTTATCTTTAGGCAATATGTGCCTTGATCTGTGGTCGACCAATTGTGAAGCCAGAGTATTTTGATGAATTAATAAAAGCAATTCAGGCGAAACAGCAGTTACCGACACCTGAAAGGTAATACCTTATAATACACACCCTAGATTTAAAAAGGATTTGATAATTATAATTTGGACTGTTATGTTCTGCTATGTAGCAGTTGGCTTTAAAAACTCCTGGAGTATGCCCTGCTTAGATATAACCAGTACTTTTTTTTCTGTGGGGACGCAGGGGGACACATACCCTTAAACATTTTGTGAATCTAAGTTTGGCCTCATTGAGGGGCAGTATTTTAATATGAGTAGGAAAGTGAGAGTACCCTTTAACATTATTTTTTAGAAAGAAAGCACTGGATATAACCATATTCAAGTCATGCACGTTCATGAATTGAATATGATGCATAACATACACGCTATAGATATCTATGCCATAGTGTAATTTTATATGTCGTCAGATTAAATCATTATATGTTTACACACATTCAGAATTATATGGAACATTTACGTTCTTGAAGTATAGCAGAAACATTTTGTAAATTTATACAATGGTGCTGCTATAGTTGGTTTTTCCTTAGGAAAGTCTATAAGGAGCTACTCTTTATACTGCTATTTCTGGCCCACTGTTGTCTACTGACTGGTTGCAATTCTTTTTGCATCTGTATACTTCTTTAAGTAGAGAGTATCCAGAACAGACACTTTCACAACTTCTCAGATTCTGGAACCTCCTACCATGTTGCCCGGATTTCAACTTACTCACCCTTATCAAACCTACTACTGACTTCTGGCTGTCATTCATCCATTGTGCCTGGTTCACCTGGCAGGGAGAAATAGCTAGATGGCATGGTGACAACCCACTTTAAAATCCAGGCAACATTTCTCCGTAGTTTTATATAGACCCATGTGGAACTCCACAAGAAAGTTCCCATAACAAATAATAGCATAGACTTGTGTGGAACTCAACAAAAAAACTCCTATAAGGAAAAATATCTGTCTCCCAGCACCACCTTCTGTAATCTGCTAGTGCAGAAGTAGGGGATCATTGGCTTTCCAAATGTTGCTGTACTCCAGCTCTCATCAACTCTCACCCATGCTATTTCTGATTACATGTGCAAATCATTTTGAAAATGATTGTATTGTGCAAATCTATTATATATGCCATTTTGAGAGCCTTTTGGTGGGATGCAAGTATTCTAAATAAATAAATAAAACACCACCCTGGGGTATCTGGAGCTGCTTAGCCAAAGTCTATTTATTTGTCTAGGAAAGGAGGATTCTATACTGGTTTGTAACTTCCCAATTCATGTCGATCCAGTGAAGACGTCCTCAGCTATGGTCTTTAACTATTTCCTCTTTCAGACTAGGTGAAGCAAAGTCTTCCCATGGTGAGGAAGATTAAGTATAATTATATTTAATTGGCAAAGTGTTGTACTGCTGACTCGTTGCTATGAGCTCTTGGGGAAATGACAGGATATTTTTGGATGTTATGCGAGTTGATTCGTCTTCATTTTCACAGGTTGCTATAGAGATATCTTTGGTAATATCTTTTGAAGTGGTGCAAATACTCTTGGGAATATGAACATTAACAAAACATTGCTTTAAAAATAAATTATGTAGTTAATAATTGCCTTGGTAAAATACATCTCAATTCACAATTTAAGATCAGGTTAAAGTTAAATTATTTCTGCTGATGAATAAAATTAACAGTTTTGTGATGCTTTGATCTTCAATTAAAACTAAAATTTATATTGCCTCTAGAGAGGACCTACTGTCCATATAAACTGTATGGAACAGCTTTTAATTTTTATGTAATTTGAATTCACAACTTTTATTTAAACCTTTGAACTTTTTTTGCAGACAGGTTATACACAGTGGGCATGTCATAAAAACGTGCCTGTGGAGTTTTCAGATTTTTGTTAATCAAATAGGTAATCAAATATTAGGGTGCATGGTTGTGGGCTTTGCCTTTGACCAAGACAGACTTCAAGATTGCGTTCAGCAAAGGGGGGGCTGGATAGAGAAAAAAATGAACATGTGTTCAGTGATTCCTGGGCTCTAGGACTACATGCTACATGGGTGGAGAAGAAGCAGACCTTTATTGTTGAGCCTGTGTGCAAATGGATAATGCCTCAAGATTACTGTCTGCAACACTGCGTATAACATAGTAAACCAGCTAGATGTTGGATAGAAAAACAGATGTACTCAAACTAGGTAAGCAATGTAGAAATGAATGACAGTTAATAGTAGTGTAAAATGTAAGCTACATTTTTACAATCATTTCTTCCATTCACAGTTTTAACCCTCCTATTGATGAGCTGAGTGTTAAGAATAACAAATTAGATCTGGCAACCTCTCCCATAAGAAGAACAATATTCAAAGGAAAAACGTTTGTGTTTCTAACTGTTAAGCAGGTAACTGGCACTGTTTAAAGCTTGACAAAAGTAATTTAAGATACTTTTATCTACAGAGATTATGTTAATAGCACAGGTTTTGTGTACTCATTAGCCCTCCTTAAATGTTGTACACATGCAATAATGAGAAGAAGGTTTGCACTGCTTGGCCTACTGATGGCCTTCTCAGTATTGGCTGTGGGACACCCTCCCTTCAGATGTCAAGGAAATAAACAACTCTCTGACTTTTAGAAGACACCTGAAGGCAGGTTTTAATGTTTGATGTTTTAGTACTTTCTGATATATGCTGTGTGAGCTGCCCAGAGTGGCTGGGGAAACCCAGCCAGATGGGTGGGGTATATATAATAATATTATTATTATTCATGACATCCATGGACATCGAGTGTGTGGATGCACACAGGGATCCCCATTCACATGGATTACATATGCATGTCCAGCTACTCTTTCATAGGTGCCGTTTTGCAGATGTCCATGCTCAGTGTGCAGATGTTGAGATTAGGTCCCTGGGGGTTGTGATGTTGTGAGTGGAGCCACTGATGTGTCCATACTTCTTCTTATAAAAAAGCCCCTACTATTTATTTGTCAAAAAATTTTTCACTCAAGTGCCTCAAAGTAACTTGAGCAGTGAAAATTAAAAGTAACAAAGACTTTTAAATTAGATTATTCAATATATGAACATTTGTAACCCAAGTTAAGGACTTTTGTACTCATTGGAGCTCAGAACTTGACTTTTCAGTCAATTTTCTACTTGTCTTTATTCAGAGTCATCTATTAAGCTGCATTCATGTTAACAAAAGGCTCATTGAACATGCAGCTTTTAAAAGTGAGCAGAGAACTGGCTGAAAGACCACCAAGGGCTTGTTCTCTGATTGGAAGAAGGTCTTGGGCTTGCCCACTTCCTCCCATGTCTCTCCCCCCATTGCATTGCATGCACCCACATGCATTACTGTGTGTGCAATGTAGTGTCCAAAGTGGGTACTCTGGCATTTTTTAGAATGCAGAACCTGCCTGACTCTTTCCTATCTTGCTAAAGGAACTCAAGTTGTATGATATAAATCAGGGATGGGGAACCTGTCACTCTCCAGATGTTGTTGTTGTTGTTTAGTCGTTTAGTCGTGTTCGACTCTTCGTGACCCCATGGACCAGAGCACGCCAGCATTTGTAGTCCAGTGACATTTGGAGGATCACAGGTTCCATACTGCAGTTGATAGTCTTTGTAGACAAGGTAGTATGATAAAATGGTAATAAAGAAGAAACCTTTGAAATAGTAATAAGCACACTTGTAACATTCTCTGTATATACCATTGCATTTATTGTCACTTGTAGAGTCCTCATATTGATTACATTACTTCTTAAGTTACGAAATGGTATGCTTATTATAGAAATGTGTCATATTAATGTGAGCTCTGTTCTTTGAACCTTTGGGCTTTGTATTTAATTTTAGTTTGCAAAACTGAGTGCAGCAATTAAACTTGGAGGAGGAGAAGCGAAACTGATAACGGAGGAAGCAGAGATTGTTTCTTCTTTGGTAGCACCTGATATTTGTGTCATTGAAGTAGGGTTGACAAACTCTCAAGGATCCATTTCTGACTTGGACAGGAAATGGATGGATAGAATCACAGCTGTCTTCCAAAGGTAGGATTGCTGAAATATTAGTAATTGAGTACTGAGGTTTGTTGTTGTTGGAGGGGCTGTCAAACCATAACGAATACAAATCTACAAATAGGGTCTGTAAAATATGTGGACATATTTAATGTTAAAGTAAGTCCACAGATTTCTATCACATGCAAGAAATGATTGTAGCTGAATTAGAATAAAAAAAGCTCAACAATTTTGGTCGGCCCTTTCGTCGGCCCCCACGGCCCTCCACTTCATCAAATCTGGCCCTCTTTGAAAACTGTTTGGACACCACTGGACAGTGGTCCTCCAGATGATGTGAATTACAGCTCCTATTACCACTAGCACTTATGCTGGGGTTTGATGGCAAACTGGGTTCGGTCACCTTGAGATGCTTCAATAAAATGCAGTATATACATAGTGATTATAAATTAACAACATCTGGAGTGTCTCCCAGACTTGTTATACATGTGCAGTCTGAATATAAATGAATGTAGGCAGGAAACAGCAGGTTACTAGAATTAAATGTTTCACTGACAATTTCCCTTGGACCATTTTATTCATTTAAAATATTGTTAGCTCACCCTTCATTATAACCCAGCCCAGAGTCTTGTTAGAATGCCATATATTTTTTAAACAAATACTGATATCCATCCCTTGCCAATTCACAGGTTGCATGATAGTCTGTTCCTTTACTGTAATGTTTTAGCATTATTTTCCAAGGATGTTATTTGGTGAATGACTTCCACTTGTTTTTCTGACAGTGTGTTTTATTTCTAATAGGAAGCAATGGAGGACAATATCTGAGGCAGAAATTGGTCTAGCAGTTATTTTTTCATCCACAAAAACATACTGTAATCCTCAAACTCCACTAGATGCAGGTAATTTTTAAAATCTATATTTAAAAAAAATCTTTGTCCTGCATTTTTTACTTTTAAGGAACTGAATTCAGCAGACAGCTTAAAAGAGGGAGCATATTATTTAAGAGTGCTTTGTTTTAGGATAACAGATAGCCTTATGTTACTGATGACCCTACATCTTTTTTGCTAGCAGGTTTAACAGATTTTAAATAGCTTTCAATTGGAAAAGTAAAAAGCACCAGGATTTTAGTATCCAATTTTGACAGCAAATAAGCTGAATCTCACTTTTATTCACTTCCATTCTTTTTCTGCAGCACAATTCTGTAACTTCTTTATCTAATTAATTTGCTTATATGGGAGAGGCCAGAGATGGGTCCTGTGACTTGCTCCCAATTCATTAAGTATGGTTGACCACTGGATAGAATTAGTTCCGGATTGGCCCTTAGTTTTAGGATGCTCAGACACCTCATGCAATAGAATTTTAAGTAAGAGGATATACTAGATTTTATTGAATACAGTGGTACCTCGGGTTACATATGCTTCAGGTTACAGACTCCGCTAACCCAGAAATAGTACCTCGGGTTAAGAACTTTGCTTCAGGAGGAGAACAGAAATCGTGCTCCAGCAGCGTGGCAGCAGCAGGAGGCCCCATTAGCTAAAGTGGTGCTTCAGGTTAAGAACATTTTCAGGTTAAGAACAGACCTCCGGAACGAATTAAGTTCTTAACCCGATGTATCACTGTACAGTGGAACCTCAGTTGTCGAACGTAATCCATTCCGGAAGACTGTTCATCATCCGAAATGTTCGACAACGAAGGTGCAATGAGCGGTTGGAGAATTCAATTGAAAAAAATGGGAAATGCACCTCGGAAGCCGTTTGACTTCCAAGGCGCATTTGAAAACAGAAGCAATTACTTCCAGGTTTTTGGTGTTCAGGTTCCGAAACGTTCGGCTTCCGAGACTCTCGAAAACCGAGGTTCCACTGTATTGAAGAAGCAAGATGGGGAGATAAATGGACACTTCTTAGTAGGAAGAGTTGCCCAAAAATATATTTTTGAATAATATTTGTCTGAAATGGCATGAATTATATAGTTTTAAAATGTTAACATTTATTCTTCTTTGCTGCTTTTAAACTGCAGGTGTAAAACCCACATCAGCACCACGTGTTACAGGACCAAACCTTTCTCAAAGTGTAGTAGATGAAACAGTAATGCCCACCATTGCAGCATACGTAGCTGACACAGAAATGGACCAACTGATGGACACATGGTAATGTACCAGCAGGAGCTCTTTTGATTTGCTCTTTCTAAATATGGCTTCATGAGCCACAGTTAGTCTGACTGTGATGCCTTTCTTTTCACATGAAAACTTTCATCATGTGCCAAAAACTGCATGGGTAGATTCTTGAGTTTCTAATCTTCTGAAGTTACAAAAGACAGGGACTCCTAGTTTATGGAGAGTAACTTTCAGTACTGCATCTGTCTTGTCTTTTGTAAAAAACAAAAAGCCTGCTGGAGTTTTTAAGGCAGGGGGGAAAATGCAACATTTCATGTAAACACACTTCAGTCATTTTATTTGTATACTGCTTTTCTGTGTACATGCACTCAACAAACCAGTGTTATTTATTTCATTCATATTCCACCTTCTTCCAAACAGTTCAGAGGAGTGCAGCCCACACTCTAGCCACTGTCCAAGGCCAGCCCAGGGTCTTGTGCAGTCAAGTGTTAGCCTTGACATATAACTTCAGGGTATATTAAGTACACACAATTGGGAAATAGAGCAAGACTATCCCTAGCCACATTGTGCAAAATGTGGAATGTTTATTACACATGAAATGAGGGGCGGGGGGGGGGGGAGAATTGCAGGTGGTGGGAAAATCAGAACCAAGGGTAGCCATTACTCAGCACTACAGAATTAAAACAATCCTACATGTTTGCTCAGAAATGCATCCTGTTGTGTTTACTTGCTGCTACATACCTACAGTGGTATCTCGGTTCTTGTACGTAATCAGTTCCGGAAGACCGTTTGAGTTCCAAAATGTTCAAAAACTGAGGCAAAAAGGCTGTTGGCAAATTAAGTTGAGAAAATTGAAAAATACACAGCGGAAGCCGCTCGACTTCTGAGGCATGTTCAAAAACGCTGGGTTTTCGGCGTTCGGATTCCAAAATGTTCGTCAGTTGAGATGTTCGAGAACCGAGGTACCACTGTATGCATATTTAGTGATTGTGGCTTATATCTTCTGAAATCCTTGACATCAATGAGAATGCATGCTAAAATAATATTAACAGTATAATCTTATGCATGTTTACTCAAAAGTCGCACTGAATTCAGTGAGCTTACCCTTAGTAAATGCATTTAGGGCTGCATTTTAGATTTAGAATATTTAGGCTGCATTCCTACATACACTTATCTAGGAGTAACCTCTGTTGAACTCAATGAGGCTTCACTCTGAGTAAGCATTTATAGCATTGCACTATAAATCCAGGAAGATTTACAAGTGATATGGAAGCTGCTTTGGTGACAGAACTGTTTGCATCTTCCAAACAATGAACAAAGGAATGTTTTTGATGACTGAAGAGTGGCATTTTAGGATCTTATTTCTCCTCTTAAAAAAAAGTCAGCTAAAGCCGCAACAAACTTACAGGAGGCATCTTGATAGGGATCAACATGCAGAGGCAGTGTTGAACTCTCCCGTAGTCCGCTGTAGCTTTGGAATCTTGCCTCTGCACCATTTAGGAACTAATGGCTTGCTGATCAGGTGGTGGAATTTGTTGATGCACTTGAGCCCTGATACCTCTCTCCTCACCTCCCAAAATTAAGCAGGATGTTCTGTACAGACTGTTATTGGTGAGGTCCTCAGGTGCTCAAGCTGCAGTCCTAATTCCACTTACCGGGGAGCGCTGCTGTGTTGACATGGTTAGGACTGCAGCTTTAGTCATATTAGCATTTCATAGATCACATAGGGTTTACTGAGTTCCAGTTACTATTGACACAGCCAGCTGTTTTCAAAAAATAAGAGAGTCATTTTTGAAGCTGCTGCTGGAGGGGAGCATAGGAAGCTTGAGGGAGGAGAAAAGTGAGCAGAGGGACAGTTGTGAAAAAGCAAGAAAGTGCAAATAGGGTAGAAAGGAAGCAATCAATCAATCAATCAATCAATCATAAGGAAAGCAAACTAGTTGGTATGTACCAGATGGAAGAAAAAAATAGTGTCTGGAAGCACTACTAGAGTGTGTGCAGGTGTGTACTGCTGCGCTTTTGAATTTGTTCCAGCAATCCCTACTGATACCGGTAGGTAACATCTACTTTGCAAAGGAGCAGATTTTTCTTCCTCAGGCCCTGCCATTCTCCTGCAGTTTTGCCTTGCCACTGCAATTTTGGTGGGCAAGTTGAGGAATAGGGTGGACGAAAGCAAGCAAACAATAGAAAGGGAAGAAATGGTTTTCCTTTTCTTTTCACTTGCTAAGTGTGTGTAACCCACCCAGGATTAGCAGAGCAAACTTGTAGACATGCAGCACCAGTGACCGTGCCCTTTGTTTGCAAGCATACTTACTAGTGCTTTGTACCCAAGTCCCTTTAAGGAACTAACAAAGATGCATTCACCCAAGTAGGGGAGCTCAGCAGCTGCCATTCTAAAATGCAGTTACTACTATGCCTCCATTTCAGGGTCCTGGTAGGGAGGTGGGTGGCCAAGTGAGGATGAGATTAATGAGGGGCCCATCTGAGCTCATGGACCCTCAGCCAATGCCTGATTATATCAGTCACTGCCATCAGGCCTGTTACTACTCCTATAGCAGATGATGGTAGAGAAATTTCAAATTCCTGGGAGCTGGCAAAAAAAAAAAAAGAAGAAATTCAATCTAGCAAGAAATCTAGCAAGAAATTCTCATCTTTGCTTCAATCTAGCAAGAAATTCTCATCTTTGCTTCAATCTAGCAAGAAATTCTCATCTTTAGGTGCAACCCATGCATGGACCTTACAAATACCTCACATTTCTAGGGATCAGCAGAATAACCAGAAATCTGAGAAACGGACTATAGATTATGTAATGTGATGGTACAGATTTTGGTCATTGACTTAGTACTGACCTATTCCTTTTTTCCTTGTTTACACAGCATGGAAGTGTCAGGAGAGAACAGAAAGAGAGCAACAACTCCTATCAGGGAACAAAGGAAAAAACCTTACCCACTGGATATAACTACTGTTAATGAGACTCCAGCAGGAACTGGCACTGTGAATGTTGGGGCTACATTACCCAAGTTGAATGCAAGGCCCGAGACTAACCAGAGTAGCCTTTCGCCCTCTCCCTCTAAAATGTCAGGGAACAGGAGAAATAAAGAGGGAGATTCACAGCAGCAATTGAATTCAATTAAAAACTACTTCCAGACAGTTACCAAAAAAAGGTATGTTCACATAAACCTCTTGCAGTCAGGCTAGTTCTAATATTTATTCCCTAATTTTGGGTCTTTACTTAGCTCTCAAAGATCTCAGATGTTTCAGTTCCATAGTTAACTGAAAATAAGTGAAATCCTCACAAACAATGCATATTGATAACATGCTGGCTCCAAGAAGCTTTGCCTGAACAATGCTAATCAGTGCTACATTTTAATTAAATAAGTTTGCTTATGAGTAAACTTTTGCTGATTGCTCCTAAGGATGCCATCACGATGAATCCCATTTGAAATTAGAGACACTACAGTGCACAGTTAAATGCTTGCTATGATTATTACAAGTGCCATCTGAGTTGTACTTGATTGGATTCAGTCTGTCTGGGGTCATAGCTATTCATCATAAAGATAAGTAGTGAACAAGTGTGTGTTTGTGATCTTTCTGTGTACATCCATTTGTGATGTTCTGCTTTTGCAAATAGGAACTTAGCTTCCCTTTCCTCCCTCCTCTGCGCCAGCAACATTTGCTCTAGAGGGTTGGGAGATCTATCATGTTCATTTGCACGATGTTAGGTTTTCCCTCAATTTGAAGAGAAAGTCTAAAATGCTTTTTTCTTTCTATTCAAGGGAAAGGGATGAGGTTGAAGAAACATCACAGTCTAAATATGCAAAGATAGAGGAGAAGTCATCGCTGGCTTCTAGTCATACTCAGCCTGTAACTTCTTGGCTGTGGGAAAGCAAGGCAGGAGGATCTCAAAAGGGGTCATGTACCTTGGACCAGAACACCAACGAGTCCTGTATAGGTGGAAGTAGAAAGCCTATTGCTGAGACTAGCCAGTTAGAAAACAATAATGATGAAAGCATTATTGCATCAAAAAAGAGAAAAGAATTGGAAGACTCAATAGAAGACGAAGCATCGTTAGAACTTGTCTTTGCAAGCCAAGAACTGGATTGGGAAGACGATATAGGAAATCATGGTGAAGGCAGTACTCAAGGTGCAAAGAAGAAAAGGAAATTGGAAATGAAAGAAGAGAATTCAGATATGGAGACTGGGAGACTTCAGGTAGGGACATTTTTTTCTGTCTCATACACATACACATAGATATGCCATACACCACAATTTTAGACTATTAGCATAAAGATAAAATTATTTTGAATTTCTATCAATAAAAGAAGGAAGAATATAAATGCTTTATATCATTTTACAGGAGGGATAACAAGGTGGGTATATATTGTACTCAGACTTCTGGAATTTTAGAGGGTGGGCTTCATAGAATTACTCTTCAGATCTGCCAAAGTGGGGGGACATTTAGAACAGGGCCAAGCCACTGATGGATTAAAAATATATTTGGTAAAGTGATTAGCTAAATATTCTGTAACATGGTAAAATATTTAAATCATTGATTTAGAGCATCGGGCAGTATCAATAAATATCCCCTTCAGGTTGAGATTCCTTTTTGTTGCTTTCGCCATTTTTTGTGTAGTGCTCATTTCCTTCCCAGCCCCCAAGTGTGTGCATGTCCATTCTAGCATACTCAGATTTTCCCATGTGCTTCAGTTGTGGTGCAGCTTCATGTACTTCATGTTTTTGCACGTGCTTTCTTGTTGTAAGGAAGGAAGCCACTGGGCACAGAAACTCCTATGTGCTCATTGAACATGAAATGGATGTTTCAATGCAATCTGCCTGTTTCTGCCAGTGTTGGCCTTTGGTATACTCACACTCACAGTGGAGAGAGAGGTTTATTTTCCTTTAAAGCTTTACAACTTTTACATGGAAGAACAGTGGTCACCTAGTACACCTAAGGTTCAAAAACAAATATAGTCACAATCCACTGCACAATTAAAAGCATTTATGTCCCATTGAAACTACAGGTTTGTGTATGTCGAAGTCTATATTGAATTATGCTGGAAATCACAAGTGTGGAGAATGCAGTTGCATTCAAGTCCTGCTTGCAGGACCTCCCAGAGGAATCTAGTTGATCACTGGGATAACTGGATCCTGGATTGCATAAGCCCCTGGCATGATCCAGCTGGGTTTTTCTTACATTACTATCTAAAATAGCTTTTATCCATTTTTTTTAAAATGACCTCTCATGAAAACCTACTTTGGTTAGGTCGGAATTGTTTTCCTGAATAACTTCACACTATTCTCCTACAGATTTTTTGTGATTATGTACTGACTCTCTTACATCCATCTTTTATTGTGCTGGCACAGTAAATCAGCCACACTGCTCTGCGCAACAGCAATTTTAAAGTTTCTTATTAATGAAAGGGATTATTTTCTTTTATACTTTAAAGCTGTGAAAGTATTTCACTTGGAAACCCAAGAACTAGGTAACAGGTCAAGTTCTGTTTTTGCAAGCTGTGACGATAAATAAATTCTGTTGAATAGAAGGCTTCTTTAGCTTGGGAGAAACCATGCTGAAGAACTCTTTCATTCAGAATAATTTATTTCAGCTCTCTCGTGTGGGAGCTATCACACACTTTGACAGAAGAACCATTTGTTATTTCCTCTCTTTGAGGAGTAGTCAGAGACAGACAAGTTCAGTATATGCTAGCCAGAGTTCAAGCAAGTTGCTTTCAGCCTACAGTTTTCAGCCTCATTCTACTGTAGTGGTATAGAGTATATATTAGACATTTACCAATACCTTTTGTTAAACAGCAAGAAAAGAAGCAGTCGCTTCCAGTTTTAAACCAGAAACAAGAGAAAGAAGAATCACCAGGCTCTGCAAAGAATGACTCCAATGTAAGGAATATCTTCATGCTAATGTTTCGTGTATTTAATTTTTGCAATAGGTAATGTGGTAGGAAATGCATTCTTTTAAATTAAAAAGATACTCCAATATTGAGGCTAGTGACATTTAGTTTTTTGAAAATATATCTGAAAAAAATGGCATCAAGTAACTTGTAAAGTTGTCTTTAAACTATTTTGTTAGCATTCTATTTGTTCCCTTCCCTCCCAATTATTAATTGAAACTATCAAACTTTGATTGTTTTGCTGGAGAACTAGGAAATAGACCCATTTTCCTGTCCTACTTTGTAGGAGGAACAGGCAATTTTGTTGTCATGTAGAAAACGAGTGAAAGGTGTGAAGATATTGAATGTATAAATTGATGCAGATATTTCATAGTTCATTAAATGGCTAAAGGGAGATTTTGGTTTTCCTTGAAGAAACTGATTTAGTTAGAAAAAGTTTGGAAATGTTTTCAAATACCATCTCAGAAAATAGATGACTAAGTACAGTACTTACAATCTTATGATGAAGAATAAATGTTTATTGTAATAAACAAGCTTGATTAGAATAACCTCAGTAATTACTCTAATTCTTTTCCCCCTCCTAAATAAGAATCCTGATAGATGTGCAAATGACTCTAGCAATCTGCCCAGCAGGCTCCTGCTGACTGAATTTAGATCATTGGTTGTTAGTCAGCCAAGGAAAGATGGTCGTTGCACTGCAAAAATAGATTATGGACATCTGAACAACTTTAAAAAGTTTAAAAAGGTTGGTACATGCTTTTAAACTCACAAGAGGATATTTCTTAGAACATACAGAAAAGGTGTAAAAATACAGTCGTACCTCGGCTCCCGAACGCCTTGGGAACTGAATGTTCCGGTTTTCGAACATTTTTTTTTGGAAACCGAACATCCGGCGCAGCTTCTGCTATTGTTTCCGGCACTCCTGTGCAGTCGGGAACCAATCGGAAGTCGTACCTTCGTTTCCAAACTTTTTGGAAGTCAAATGGACTTCCGGAACGGATTCCTTTTGACTTTCGAGGTACTTCTGTATTAGCTAAATCTGACCATCTTCTGGTTTTGTTTGGTTCGGTGTGTCTTTTAATCTAGAGGTTTGCAGTACAGTGTTGGGGAATAGAGGACTGAATTAAATGTAGTCCTAAAAGCTATTGCAAGGGTATCTTGAAGCAGAATGCTTCTATGTTTAAATTCTATTGCACTCTTTGGGAATGATCAGAAATTGGTATTGTTATTGTAAAAGGACAAACTTAGAGCAGATCAGTCGGAATCCATTTGTAATGTTGTTAAGCTTGAATAGAAACATTAAAGATATACACTTTTAAGTGGATAATGGTAGTTATAACTGTATTATATTATTCCTGTAGTGTATCTGAAACCTGCATTGTTTGTTTAGTGCCTCCTGCTCTACAGCCCAAACCTAGAATGAAAGAATAGAAACCTAGAATGAAAGAATAATACTCAACAACTGTATTTAATGTATTCTGAGTTTTCTTCAAATGATAGAATGCAATAATGAAGCTGAATTGAGTAAGTAGCTGTTTCGGGTTCCATCTTTGCATAGAGAGACTTGTAAATGCATTGAAGCCCCAGTTTGAAACCTGAGTTAAATAGAGCTGAGATTAATACATCTTTCCATTTGACAGGTAGCTTATCCTGGAGCAGGACAACTTCCATACATTATTGGGGGGTCGGATCTGATAGCTCATCATGCTAGAAAGAATTCTGAGATGGAAGAATGGTTGAGGCAAGAAATGGAGGTGAGGAGCAAGAAGTAGTTAAAAGCAAATAGCCTGCAACCTTGGCATTATCAGCACCATGCTCTAACCCAGCTGAGCTATCACGGTCATGATCATGAGCTGTAGGTCAGTGTTTCATACACTGGCTGGGTGAGGGGCTGCATTGGGAGTGGAAGATCGTGGAAAATTGGCTGGAGACCGCTTGCAAGCGGCCTCTTCTCATTTTCCCCATTCCCACTGCAGCCTCACCGTCCTCACATCCCTGGCCTTTTTGTAGGATCTTCAGAAGAGACCTTTTGGCTCAGGGCAGGCAGTATGCAGTGGGGCGGAGACGGTAGGGAATATCCCTTGTTTCCTTGTGCTCATGCAGTATTGGATACCACCCATTGTATTTATGTGTCAATGCCTGACTGCACCCAAATCATGCTGGTTCAGAGCAGTTCATATTTGGCAGAAGTTCTCAAAGAATCATTTATTTTTCTAGGAACAGAGTCGCCAAGCAAAAGAAGATTCGCTTGCAGATGACCTCTTCAGGTGAGGGTTCCCCTCCTCCCCATAATGAACTCAAGGGAGGAATCTTACACACATATAAAAACATTCTGAAAATGCTTTTTTAAAAGCATTTTAAAAAACACATTGGATTTTCCATAAGGCTCTCCATTGCCATCTAGTGTCACATTGTGCTGTATATTGCACTTAAAACGTTTTATTTGCAGCTGTATAGCTGAGTCCAAGGACTCATTGTGTGTTTGTTCAAACTGCATGTGACTGCCTGTTCTTCCCTCCAACAAATAACAAACTATGGAATGGACATAGCTAGTTTTTAACTATATAAATAAATACACCAAATTAATATCTGGTTCTTCAGAGCAGACCAAAATCAGAATTGAGAAGCAAGGACAACTTTGCCCCATTTATGCTTCTGGAAGGAAAACCCAAAGATGAGAATTTTTAATTAACATTTTTTTTATTGACAAATTTGATGTGACAATAATTTTTGCTGTCAGTTGCAAACTGCTCTTGCTGTTGGGTGATAATAGGCAGGAAGCCTCTGATCATACGGTGGAAACTTCTACACTCAGTCTATTGGAAATCTGAAGAAGCAGTGTGCATGATAATGCATGGCTCACTGTGCAGCAATAGACTGCCCAGAAAGTATCGAAGTAAAGTAAAATGTTAATTCACCCTGGATTAGTCTGTTTCCTTTTATGTGTTCCTTTGCAAAGACCACTCTGCTTGGGGAATATGCCATATCATAAGTATTTGGAGACCCTTGGTTCAGGCAGTCCCAAATTCCCGCGGGGCATGTCGGCACCCTTTTTGGGTCTGAGATTTAATGACAGAAGAAATGTCTCTGATACAATCTGCACATGTGCTCAGATCACCATCAGAGACCCTGTTCTGTGTTCTGCCATCAGAGGTATGACATGTGGGCCTTTTCAGTCACTCTGATACTTAAACTGTAGACTGTCCTCCCACACTGGCCCCATGTGGCCTCATCACTGCTTAATATTCAACAAGCAATAAAGATACGACTGTTTCAGCAGTGGGTTGCATTGTTGCTAATGGATTTGAGATACAGTTGCTCCTTAATGGTTTTATTTATTTATGTTCCAGCTTCCTTCCAAGCTCAGGTTGTTGTGACCCTGCAACAACCCTATGAGGCAGGTTGGGCCAAGAAGCAATGACTGGTCTATGGTCACTCAGTCAGCTTCATGGACAACTTGCAGGTCATGTGACTGTGTTTTCAGTTTTACTGGATTTCAGAACCAGGCATTTATGCATTTTTTTTTTGTTCCATTTAGATATGATCCCCATGTAAAAAGAAGATAAGGTGTGCCTTGAATCAGACCTACAGCAGAAGAAAAGCTTGCCTGGCCCTCTGGCAATAAATTGCAACATCAGAGTCAATTTTACGCTGATCATACCTCCTGAAAACCTGCTTTTCATATTGAAGAAAGGATGCAAGACTTTGAACGGTTCTTCAAACATGTTACAGCTAGTGATGGATCCATCTGCCCACAGCGTGAAAGACAGGTCTAGGCCGACTTTGTAATGCTCAATACAAAGATAGCATTAAAATTCAAACTAGAGTAGAACTGAAGCCATTTAACCCCCTCCTACGTTTTGCTGCTCTGGCAGTGAATAAAAGAAGTATCTCTTCCATCCCTGACACTATGGTGGCTTCATGCTTTAATGGCTATTGACTCATGTTAGCAGCACTTGGGAAATGACATTATTCAATAGTACTTCTGGCATCCAGCCTTAGCAGCATGCTAGATATTAGGAAGCTGAGAGAAGAGAGACCTCCCTCACTTGTCCTGCCTTCACTGCCCCTGTTGGAGCAGCAACAAAGACAAGTGTAGGGGACAGAAATACGGGAGGACACAGAAAGGTGGTTGAAGGAGCGTTGGATATCATTGGGAAAGTTGCAGGAAGGATCAAACCTTGTTGTACTACCAATGAAATCAAGACCAAATAGGCTCAGAACTGGATTTGAAAGGGCCCAAGTTATTTTCAGAGTTTGAGAGGGAGGGTGCAGAGACTTACTAAGGGGAGTTTGCCCATCGATAGTTATAGCACACAAAGCCTTTGAAATTCTTTTTCAACTTGCATTCTCTATCCAAAATTTTGCTTTTATCAAAGCAAATAGGTTTCTTTTTTTAAAAAAAAAAAACCCACACATTTGTTTTAACCTATTTTTTGTATGGTATTATGACTATCAGAATTGTCAAATGGCAACATGGGATTTGTAACATGAGTATTGCTCACTTCTGTACCATTTTGCATCTCTCAAACTGGCTTTGACCCTTTTAGTAAATTATTAGTCTCCGTATTGATGGGAAATCTTTTCTTTGCTTCTCAGAATTTTGATGCTTACAAAGACTTGTGCCTATTGCAGATAGGAATAAGAGCAGCTGTCTTCAAATTAGTTTATTTTGCCTAAGTGGTGTTACATCTGTTTGGTGCCTTACATGAGACAGGGTGCAATAGGCCCAAATCTGCCATACTTCTGTTAAATCAGAGGAAAGTAAAACGGATACTTCTCCTCAGATGTGTCCTATAAACTCCTTAGATTTAGGAAAGTATCAGTTTGACCATCTCTAGCATATACCGCATGTCTGCTCCCATGCATGCCTTTTAAGAGTCTAAAGCAGGCATCTCTCAACCCAATGCTGTCCAGATGTTTTGGACTACTATGCCTATCTGCCTCAGCCAGCATGCCCAATGGTCTGGAATGATGGAAGTTGAAGTCTTGAAGCATCTAGCAGACAGCAGGTTGGGGAAGGCTCCTCTAAAGAATGCTTATGAAGACTAAACATTTGCTCCATGCTTCTAGTCAGTCCATGCGTGCAGTCTAAGCAGTAAGCCTTTTCTGGGGATAATTTTTGTGCTTAAGTACCCATACAGAGCACTTTCCCTTGGATCGAAGGGGGTGGGGGGGAGATAAATCTATTTGGGTTGCAGCTGCTTGGTGATTTCCCTTAAGAATAACTCTTCCCAGAAACACAGGTAAGAATGACTGGTAAATGCTAATAAAGTATTCTGTACACACATAATTGCTTGGTTTGCAGACTATATACCAACCCGTAGAAAAAGATATATGGCTGCTAATGATGTCAAATATTTATCAGTCAATTTCTTTCATAATCATGAACTTCGAGCCCCCGCTTCTGATCGGCAAGCCCTAGGGCTCTGTGGTTTAGACTGTGGTTTAGACCACAGTGCCACCTGCATCCGGGTAACTCTTAGCAGCACCCTTAAAGTGGCTACCAAGTTTTGTACAAGTAGATCAAGTCTGTAGCCATAGACACATATGAAAAGAACTGGGTTTATCAATCTATATTTCTCTAGCCTTAAAGTAATAACTGATAGTTTCCCAGATCCTGTGCATGCAAATTTTTGTATGTAGTAAAATCTATTAAAAATAAATACAGCGGTACCTCTGGATACGAACGGCATCCGTTACTTCCGGGTCGCTGCGGAGTGCAACCCAAAAACGCTCAACCTGAAGCAACTTCAACCTGAGGTATGACTGTAGATAAATTTCAACGTCTAGCCCTTGTTTTGGAGATAACCTGAAATACACACACAGTATAGGCACTGGCAATAACAATTATAGTTGCTAAGCACTGGAGTTCAGTGTTTACCACCCCCTCCCTATTGCCTTTAGAAATATTACACCACCCCAATTTCTACCACACCCCTTGGCAGCCATTATCTCACTTGCCACCATTGTACAAAACAAGGGAGATTAGTTTAATGAGTTGCATATTTTATTAGCACAGCATTCCTTGCAGGTGTGGCTAAATCACTTCCATTTGATTAACACTGAATTGTGGCCAGCACAGTGTGCAAGTTGCTAGCCTTAATAACCCAAGTGTAGAAAGGCTACATTTGCCAGTTGAAATGACTAGGTCATTTCCAAAATATTGTGGCAGCTAGCACATTTTAAACATTTGGAAAATAAATTATTAAAAGCAGATCTCAGCAACAGAAAACCCACAGCCAGCTATCCAACTTGTCTGAGTCTATTTGACCAGGAAGTATATGACAGTCCCCTCTGCAACTGTGTACACTTCCTGTACGCTTGACTTGGTTCTTGCTAGCTCAAATGCTTACACATTTACCTACTCCATTTTAGTAAGTTCCCTCAAATTACTTAATAAGTCCCTGTAATTGATTGGTGAAAGCAAAGTACTATTGTGTCTACTGACACATTAGAATTTTCCACTAAGCATGTTATGTCTAGATTTTGTGTTTTGCAAGATGTCTAAATTTATTAACCTGTAACTAAAATGTTTTTTCCCTGCTTTAGCAACAAGTTTGTTTTGAAATAAGTTGATCTAAAGTCAGTTCTGTCATCATGCCTCTTATATTTGAATTAGAACTGCCACTAATAGCTGGAAAGAGGATTCCATCTTTTTAATCAGATCAAGCCATTATAGTGAAACTACTTTAGCCACCTCTACACAAAATCTGTAGAACAGTGAACTAGAAAATTAGAACATTATTGAGGATGCTGTTCTTGGTGTTGAGCCTGACGCTTAAGCAGGTGTAAAAGAAAGTCTTCCCTCATTCCTGGGTGAAAACAGGCCATTTGGTGGTACTATACTATGTGGGAGAAAGTGCTGATCATTGCCTCAGTTCTGAGACCTGTATGTCCAATTTCAGAAACTGTTCCTACACTACAGATGTGGGGGATTCTTGAACTAGTACACGCATGGATGGGAAATACTATGTTCTGTAAAAAAAGAAGCAAATTATATACAACCATGACACATTTTGAGTTAGATAACCTTTAAATGCTCTATTAAAAGAAGTAAGTGGAATAACCTTCATTACCAGAGACACATAGCTTTCCATTCACAATACTCTGACCTAGGGAGTTTAAAGATGTCATGTCCTTCTACATTAATTGGGTCCTGAGTCACACATGTGACTTCCATTATTACAATTTTTCAATTAATTATAAATTATTGCCTCCAAGGATTTAAAATAAGGACTGTCAATTTACAAAACCAAATCCTTCTAAAAATATCAGCAAGCTTTTCCTGCCCTAAGTTAATTTCCACTTGCATAGAAGCACTTGCATAATTTCTTGGTATCACTTCAGTCAATAAAACAAATTCACAATCTAGAGGCTTATTTTGAAAATTACCACCAATTTAACAACCTGCAATCCGTATTTAATTTCATAGCAAAGCACCTTTGCAAAGAGAAGCTTAACATTAGTATCTGGGTGGTTGAGAACTATCGACTTAAGAGGCTAACAAGACTCATGTAACTTGTTCAGCTGCGTCATGTGTCAAGCTTGGTTGTTCATTAGTGAATCTTACCCTTTTCATTCCACTTGTGGTTTTATTAAAGAGCCCTTCTCTTCCTGGCAATAATAAACTGAGAACACTACAGTGTGAGTGCAACACCACAGACAATATTACACCAATATTATAGGGAGATTGTCAGGGGCACAGCCAGGATTTATTGGGGGGGGGAGCCTTTATTCCAGGGGGCAGAACCTCATTTAAGTATTTTTATTAGTTTATTTGATTTAGAAACATCTGCAAGATCCTAAAACTTTCTGCACTACCAAAGGCTTGGAAGAGGGAATATTAACTGGTATAATGCTGTATTCTGGCAGAACAGCGAGCAGATAGAAGTACTCCAATGAATTAGCTTTGGGTAGTCCTTATTCTTTTGCATTTATTGAATTATTTCACAATTCTTTTCAAAGGTAGTTTGTAACAAAATACACAGCAGCTATCATTCAGATGCATAAATGCATTTGGGCTTATTGACCCATTTTCCCTTGAACATAAGACAAAAAACTACCAAATCTCCAGTCTGCTTTTTAAACTGCCCAGGCTTAAAAAGTGATTTGCTGCTCAGAAAGGGATCTCTGCAGAAAACAAAATGCCCCCAATTTATCCCAGTATAATCACAAGCTCTATCAAGAACAGTGTGTGTTGCCTCTTTGGCTTACAGTAACTTACGGTAACTTGTATGTGCCTCTGAGGCCTCAAAGCCTGAGTTCCAAGTCCAAGCTAGTAGGCTTTGTGTGTGTGAGAGAGAAAAGGCAGCTTAATTTTTTTAAAAAAACAAAAACCCTGAAGTTCTCCATATGCATTGGGATTTTAGTTTACTGTTCAACTCCCAAAATGGTAAACTGGCAGATTTGCAAAAAAGGAAAAGGAACTTTGAACTTAATTTTGTACAACCGTTTAGGCTCCTTGTGCAACATGAACCCAGAAATACTATCGTATACTGCAGAGCACATAAGAGAATAATCTGAATTACCGCAAATGTTTTCCCTTGCTAGGAGTGATTGATAACCTTCATAGTGGTAGAGCAATCCTAGTCCCCAAAATTAAACACATTACTGTTAAATTATATTTTGATCACATTTTTTCATGTTTCCTCCATTGTGAGCAAACATAGGTTTAAAAGTTCTCTTTAATGAATCAAACCCCAACAGTTAAACAGTATGCACAGGGAGCTGACTATGGAAACTACTGAAGGCAGTCAGGTGTGATTTGTGTGTTGAAGGTGAGGGAAAACTGCTTGCATGCAGAACTGACACATATACACAGGGAATGCAGCTAACAGGCAAATCCAAAGAAAGTATGCTTAATACCCTTTGAAATCTAAGTTTTAGAACTTAAGGTATTCATAATTCACATCATTTAGTAGTGTGTAAGGAACCACATCCTTTTTCTTGTGGTTTTTATTGCTGCAATTCTTTTAATCAAGCTACTTTTATTTCATCATTGTTGATCTGCAGTAATGAAAACTACAGGTGTTCCCTGTCTTTACATACGACATTGGAACATGATGTGCACGGTAAAAAGCAATTTCAAAGGGACCTAAAGGTGAGTTTAAAGGGACCTAAAGGGCTGTGTGCGTCCAATCAACACTAGTTCTGTTTGAGACCAGAGAGATCAGGCACATCTTGAATGTTGAGAATCCTGTGATGCTCAATCTGAACAAGACTTCCATGCTGAGCTGTTATGAAAATACCTTTTACAAATAAAAGTCCTGTGGCAGAGCAGGGTATTCATATAAAACACTTTGTTTCCAAGGCATTAATATTTTTACTACAGCAGTAAATCCATTATGCGATCCCTCATAACGATGTTACATAAGCAGTACTTCATTTTACACCACTGTAGAAGAGGCTAGTGTGCTACATTTCATATGGCATGCCTGCGTACTTATGACAACTGCTTCCAACTACCAACTGTGCTGGAATATCAATCTGGAGTATCATTTAACTGTTTCCGTTCGCAACTATCTTTATTTTACAGGCCATTTCAAAAGTTATAAATACTTCCCACAACAACCAAGGGTAAAATAAAGTACTTGCTGCAAATCAACTGCTGAATATTTTTTTTTACTTTGTCTTAAAGAAAAGCTTCTATATTTCAACCATGGTCTAGTTTTATATAGCAAAACTATTAGTTCATGAGTAGAAACCATTTTTCTCTAGAGTGGTAAATATTTTCTCATCAGCGTACAAAACCAAATAAAATCTGCACGACTTATAATCATTTACTGTTTCTTTTAACTGGAAGCAATTCCAGTAAAAACAATTTTTTACAGGCTGGAATACTGTAGTCTCATTCTCTACAAGGCAATGAAAGTATGAAGAACACTTATGGATAACAAAAACAAGGCTGCCAATGACTAGATGTTATGGGTCAGTTATTAGCATATGCCTGTAGTTCCTTAGATGATGTCTATGGCTGTTTGGTTTAGGGAACTCCATCTCCTTCTCTTTCAGCTATGAGTTGATGCTTCTGCTTCGTGACCAAATGCCGTGTAATGCCCAGTGCCCCCCCTTTTAAAAAACGTACAAAATTGTCTCCAATCAGTGGACCTACTGCAAAAAGATTGGGTTCCTTTGTGCACTCATATGTATATGGATCAATTTCAATAGGGTTACCCTTGCACGTAATTGGTTCATTTGGGTTATGGCCTATACCCTGGCCTTGGCCCTTCAGGAAGCATAGGTTAGGATGAGAACCTATTAACACTAAGGCTACAGAGAACTTTAAGATCTTCTTCAATCCAGAGGCACTCTGCAGGACACATTTCATATCTGGCTGAAATGAAAGGACCCGATGTTCTGGAAAACTGGTATAAGCATGGTGCAAATTATAGTCTGTAGTGACTGACTGAGTGCACATCATATGGTAGACCTTATGGTATTCGGGGTAAAGCTTTTTAGGCAACTGTTTGAAAATCAAACTTGGATCAGTAACCCTCCTACGGAATGCATGAATTACAGGGATGTTGTTGTTATAAGCACACAGAACTGCATCAGCCGCTGTAAGTCCACCACCTATGATCAAGACTGGATCCGCTTTCCCACATAATATTCCTTTGTCGACAGCAGCACCAAACTCAGATATGGAATGCAGAACGAAAGGAAAGTCTTCACCTTCTACTTGGAGTCTGCCAGGAGAATCAAAAGTTCCAGTGGCAAGAACAACATTCTCAGCAAACAAACAGAATGGCACATGAGAGCCATCCGCTGCTCTCTGATAACCTCTGATTTCCCAGTTTCTCTTGATCAGTATAGTCTGTCCACCTTGCTCTTCCAGTTGCAAATGTTGTGGCAAAACATCTTCACTCACTTCACTTTCATCTTCATGGTCCTGTTCTCGGTAAAGCCTTGAGACAGACGTTATGTACGTGTTTTCCCTGAAGTTTTTTTGAAGGCCCATGACTTTAACATAGTGCTTGTAATAGCTAGCAATTTGCTCTGGCAGAACTCTGTCACACTTTATATTTCTGAAAAAGATAAAGATCAAATCTGATTATTCACATTTAGTTTACTGTTCACATTCACCACAGGAACACCTCCTTAAACTTGTAATGTGACTGTACGGCCATATTCAGGTCAGATTGCTACAGAAAGAATTTTCAGCTTTTGTATTAGATCAGTACATTTGTTCTTTCTTTTTGGCATGATTTTATTTTTTGAAATGTTTTCACTGCTTATACTGGATTTGTTTTGCCCCAACAAGCCAGGATGGTTAACCAGCATTAATGTATGCTTTGTTGTTGAGATATGAATCCTGGCTTTTTAGGGCAAAATAAACCTATGAACACGAGTTTGGACATAATGCTAAGCTATCATCTTCCTGGTTGTTTCCCTGCTCACACAGGGGAGGAGTGAAGCAGGAGAAATGGTGGTCCTGCATCCTTGTTCAATTCAGTATAGTATGGGTTGTTAAGCAAAGATTCTTGGCTTTCTGTTATGCGCAGATGCAGACAGTGGCTCTCAAAGCATGATGTTCCAAGCAAGGCACAGACATTTGTGAGTGATGGCTCAAACTCTTTTCTGACTTTTGCATATGCACCTGTCAATCAACCCCATACTGCAATTAAGTTAGTATTTAGATTTCCAGCCCCTGTATTGAATGAAAGGGCTGTAGATCATATGGAATATATATAACAATGTGAGGCCATATACCTGAGGTCCTACCCCAGGAACCCCAAAAAGCTAGTTTATTATTTTTACTTAGCTCTTTAAACATACAAGTCTGAAAACCACTGGCAGTGCAATCAATCTAGCTATGAATGCAGGCATCAAACATATTTAAAGAATTATGTAGTAACAGAAGACTTGGTCTCAGGGAAATTATGATATAGTTTTCCCAGAAAAAAACAACAAATGAGAGTCTATAGAATGTACAACAAAGAAAAAAAATTCCTAAATTTGCTGCCCAAGAGGGAATTTTTACATCATGAGCAGCTAAGTTCAGATTTAAATTCTGAAATCATGGATTTTTACCACATTCAGCGGAACCCACTGGCACTCCTTTGCTCACAACTACGAGAAGTACTTAAACTGAGCCAAAACATGCTAGGCTAAGTTGATCACTGAATTCTCAAAAACACAGAGGTCAATGCCGAGACTATGTGAGCTTTTCAAAAATAGGGGAGGTAGAAAATTTGGCAGTCAGTTCTTCGGTGTCCCATCTCATCCAGCAGCCCTGGTTATCTAATTTCTAATCTATGAATTAAATTAAATTAAATCAAATGTCTTAAGCTTAAGTGTCAGAATGGTAGCCCATTGTTTACAAGCTGTTAGAATTATTAAATTACATGTACAAAATGTACTTTTGAAAAACAGATCACAGAAACATTGGAACTTTTGATTCTCCATCCACTGACAGAGGCAAATTTCCCCTCCATCAGTCATTACAAGAATGTTACAGTCCTCACCTTCGCTTGGTAGCAGTCCAGTCTTTAAATGTGTATCCAGGTAATTCCATCCAATCTCCAAAACTGATAGTCAGCATGGAACCTTCCATATTCTATGGAAAAGAAAATAATACCAGGACAAAATATTTAAAATATTGCTTAAGGTCATCTCATTCCACCTACCTAGGAGCAAAGTTAAATTGTTAGGCTTCATTTCATAACAAACAGAAAAAAGATCCCATGAATCATGTTCTAAAGGACCAGCCTATGTGCTATATTATCTGCTTTGCAGAAAGCTTCAACTTGGCAACTCTTCTTATTCCAGTTGTAATGTTTGGGACAGCTTGCCATGCACATCTTCAGGACAGCATGGAGTTTCAACTCCCAACATCTGCTGCTGGTATGAGAACTCCCTGAGTGATCCAGAGGATCCCGACAGCAAATTACACTAGACATTACAGCTAAGGAAATAAAGTCAGGAGGAAATCTCCTACAGCAGGTAGCCTACAGCCTTTGGCTTCATTTCTAGCCTTCCATGGTCTATTTTGCCAACTATGCAGCCCCACAATATTCACAAAAAAATATTACTAAAAATGCCCGCAGTTAATTGTGCAGGATGATAGTCCTTGGGGGGTGGGAAGGTGATAAATGGTCTGTGCTATATTATCATTGTATTGGCCCAAATAATCAAGTGATGTAACTTCACTTCAGGGTGTAACTAAGTGTTGATCCTTTTAGAAACATATATACCTCCATAAAATCTAATACGAGGAGTGTAACGTATACCTAGTTTTCTACAAAAGGCAAGCACAAAAATGTAAGCCTTTGGAAGTGAGAACAAAGATCATTTACAAAATAGGTATGTAGTATGTGAAGTTTTTGGGAATTCTTTACACATTGGTTTATTCATTTAAAATATTAAGACACTCCCCATGATGCAGCGCCAAAACATGAACCTCTTGAAATGGGTACATGCCACAGGACTTACAACCAATCAGGAACAATGTGTGGTAGGTACCCATTGTTCCCATAGCCAACATGTAAGCTGAAGTTCTCTGATCAAGTGTGGTTCCAACAGCAAAATGGAAAAAGTTCTCACATGCCAAGCACCACCAGGTGGTCCTTTGCCAAGCACCATATGAGGGATATAGTGCTCTGGTTCCAGTTTCCAGTCAAGAACAGGTGGATAGTTAAATCCAAAGTCAGCATCAGGATGAAGCAATGTGTCAAAGAGAACTGCAACAGGATTCGAAGAGCGTCCTTCTAGACCTTCCGCCAAGTACTCCAACTCCTAATGTGAGAAGACAGTTTTAAATGGCAATGTAACTTTCCCTTAGGATATAAAATAATGTGCAGTAAAAGAGCTTTAACTCTCTATACCATGTTTCTCAGGCCTGGCTATATATAGATATCAGATGTACCAAACTTGTACTAGTTCTTTGCTTTTATCCCTTGGTTTCCTGATCACAATGAGTGCAAACAAGCTTCATTATGTCATCTGGCTTCTCCCCACGGATTACACACTTAAACCCTTGGGAATGATTTTAATGGAATCAAGTTTGAGCTGCAATTGATACAAGGAATTGATAGTATGTTTTCTGTATGTCATATGATTAGTCTCTTTTTAGCTGATGAAAAGAGACTAAACATTTGGGGAAGTCCAAGTGGGCTTCATGATGCCTAAAACCATTTTCAGCAATAGCTCATCCCTGTCATATCACTCATTAGAGTGATGTATACTGAACCCCATCAGCTAAGTTCACAGCCTGTGGCCTTGCAGGTGTTATTGGACTCTTGTCAGAGTTCAATTGGCATGGCAAATTGTCAGGGATGATGGGAGTTGTAGTCCAGCAACACCTGCAGGGTCACAGATCTCCCTTTTCTGGGCTCCTGCAAAAATAAATCTGTTAGTTTTTAAGGTGATACAAGTCTGTTGTTCATGGAACACAGGTATATTAATGGTTATTTGACACAATGCCTAAACATTGGGCCTCTGTATTTAGATATAGTACATTTCTCATTACCAGGTTTGGTAATGAGAACTTCCTGGCAACATTTGCTGTCGGAGGCAGAGTGCAAAACAAGATATATTTTGGAGGCAGTTCTTATATTTTAAATTCACAGGATTGTCATAAAAAAATAATTGGCATTTTGGATTCCCAAGTCCTATTTGACACTGAAAAACCTGAAAAAAGCAGAATACTTTGCTTCTACCATGATGCACAACAGAAATGTGAACTAATTTTTCCAAGCTAAGAGTATGTAATTGTATATTATATATGTAATGCACTTTTCTTCCAGTCCTGATATGCAATTAAATGTGTAATTTCATAAGTGGTAGCTTACCTGATCAACAATAGAAAGATGACTAGATTCTTTTAATTTATTATGCAAAATAGGATTTGGATGTTCTGTTGCAGGAGACAAATATGGCCTGTATCCAGACAGCATGTATGAGAGGCAAATTCCCGATGGTCCATTACCTAATGGTATTTTAAAAATGATATAAGATTTACTAAAGTTTAAAATTGTAATTTGGACCAAGATAATGACCAAGATAATGACTTTAATCCATGAAAGTCAAAGACATGCTTATCTTCCCCTCATTGCGATCAAGGAATTTAAAAGAGCTCAGCTTTTGCTATAGGATGCCTAGTATTTTTGCAAATATAGTCTAGAATATTATTTGCCAAGTATATTACCTTGATTCTGATCATTGAATTTCTGACTATACCAACACTGATCTGCTTATTGGTTGCTAACTTTCTGAATAGTGGCAGAAGAGCTAAAAGTCCCTTGGGTCCACACATATTTGGCTAGATAATCAGACATGTAAAATAAAATTTTACTTTTACTGTTAAAGTGGAGCCAGATTACTTTTTCATTTAATGTGAAGTTTCTTGGCTTTTTGACAGCTTTTTGTGTTGATATACAAATTTATTTCACAATATAATATAGTTTTAATTAGTTTATAGGTAATTAGTTGCTGATACAGTAATGTAATTGCTTTGAACCTGTATTTGATTACAAATCTGTGTTACTATTTATTTTGTTACTTTTTACAAAACAAGTTTGTTGCTATTGTAAATTGAAGGAGTGTGTGGGGTGGGTGGGGAAGGCTCTTTTCCTAGCAACGAGATACCTTGTGTTGTGAAAAGGCAGAAAAACCATCTGCAGCACTTTGGAATAATATTTGCATAGCATCATGTCACCGAAACTGATCCTAGGGCAGCATAGAGCCTCAGATATCATAAAATAATAGTACTTCCTCTTTCAACAGTATAATCCAAACCACTTTCACTTCTAGGTTAACATCTAATATAAAACATCCTACATCTTTGCAGGCTACATATTTTATTCCAATTACTGTATAGCAAGGAATTTGTTTCACTGTTTCATGGTTTTAATAAGTCCCAATTACAGATATTCTCCCAGTCACCAAATATGGAGACAAAGCTATTTTGCCATTCAAAAACTGGCCTCCCAAGTTGTTTCCTCCCTGACCCGAAGTAGGAGGGGCAGCCAACTGGAAACAGAAAAACAGCTAAGGATGAAACACTCTACTCTCCCTAAAAAGTGGAGGTGCTTGAGTCTTCTCATTTTGATTACATGAGTTTCTATGTTCTTGTTGTTAGATACTGTACTTTTAAAAAAGGGCTTAATTTTTGTTGAAGTGCTGTTCAGATACAAAAGATAAAGCACAGGTAAAGGTAAAGGACCCCTGGACAGTTAAGTCCAGTCAAAGGCGACTATGGGGTTGTGGCGCTCATCTCGCTTTCAGGCCGGGGGAGCTGGCATTTGTCCGCAGACAGCTTTCCGGATCATGTGGCCAGCATGACTAAACCGCTTCTGGCACAACGTGACAGAAACCAGAGCACACGGAAACACTGTTTACCTTCCTGCCACAGGAGTACCTATTTATCTATTTGCACTGGTGTGCTTTTGAACTGCTAGACTCATAATCAAATAGACATGATACAAAAGGAAAAAGAAATGGGGCTGGGAGAGGAAAGCGAGCATTAGAGCAGCTGCTCCTTTACAGACATGACCAGGTTGCATGTAACGGGTATATAGGGCCCCAAAGAGCTAGATTCAGTGACAAGGAGGTACACTTTGGCAATTCCTATTCTACTATACATTACCTTTTCCCAGTTATGAAGGAAACCATTATAGCTCAAATATTTTTCCAACAGCATCAAATCACACTATACCTGTATAACATGATAACTACAACTCTCAATTATATCACAACTTAATAAGCAGTCCGTGATAAGGCAAGGTTGTTAAGTTATAATTAATAAATTTCAAACACATTCAATTTTTTAGATTCTTATTCATATACTGAAATTCTGAGAATAACTCACCTATTACTACCACTGGCAAACTCAGTGGTGGGTCCACAGGTAGAGTAGCTTCTTCTAGTAAGGGCATTGTTTTAACATTTGTCCCAAAGCTGTCACCAAAATACTGCACTAAGGAATTCAAAAAGTGTCCTTCGGTTTCAGGGCTACAGTAGTTTCTATTTAAAAGGGAAAAAATCAGTTCATCACTACAACACATTCTTAATAAAATAAACATAAGTTAATATAAAGTCATTGGCCTGATGATATATAAGCAAAAGAAAGTCTGTCAGCATTTAGGAAAATTTCAGAGTTGCAAATCCACTTTGCCTTTTCCTAAACTGATACTGCTATTTTGGAATCCTACAGGGAAAAAGTAGGGGGTTTTACCCATATACGTTTACAAAAGGACAGACGAGTGTGCATGTTGAGTGACACACATTTCTTTTACAATAAATTGTCTGATACAATTTCTATAACTAATAATCAGGGGTAACTGGTCATACATTTAAATGTCTACGAAGCTATATTTTTTTTTGATATATTAACTAATGTTTGTGACTTGGATCCTTATTTTCTCTTCTACAGAAGGCTCCTTCTATTTGTGTTTTGAACCCAGAGGACACACCCATTGGTAGAATGGAGGAGGTGTTTTTTGCTGACTTCCCCTTCCCCCCCACCTTCCAAATGGTTCCTGAATCCTCCAGGGCACATTTTGGTGGGGCACCTGCAAGGGGAATCAGGAAACAATTGCCTTCTCCCTACCACCAGAGAGAGTATCCCATGAACTGAGTGCCACTCAAAGGATCTTTGGATCAAAACCAAAATATTTATTAAGAAGAATGTATGAATTGGTTCCAAAATAGCTTCTAAGAATAAATCATTGCATAATCTAAGTGCAATGCAAGCGCTTTCTCAAGAATTTAAATGGAAATGTACAGTTCTGCAATTGGTTTCCTCCCTCCTCCTACAATCCAGGAATCTGCCAACTCTGACACTAATTGTATTTCCCATCAAATCCACCTCTAAGCTAATATTTAAGCAGGCACTGCTGGCTCTAGGACTGCTTTTGCACAGTCCTACAGTCGGCACATGTCAGCCTCAAGCATTTTCCTTTCCTTGGTAAAGCTCATATAACCTCATCCAGAATACAGTTGTCTGCCTCCCTGGAACCAAAAATCACACAGGACATTCATGCATGCAAACATACTTATATGCAGCTAAAGATACAGATTAAGCTTAGGACAAACCCTGCAGTGCCATACATGTGGCAAATTCATGGTTAAAATAATAGAAACCATGGATAAATGGAACCAATTCTATGCTTGCTGTCAACCATCAGGTCATTTATTTTTATTTTTTAATTAAATTTTTATTGAAGTTTTAACAAACACCATAACAAAAAAAGAAAAAAAAAGAAAAAAGGCATAACATACAAATACAAAAGATAAAACACGTATAACCTCAATTTTTACTTTCTTTAAGCTTACTTTCACGACTTCCTCATACCTTCCCTTTCTGTATTCTAATTTCAGATTCAATTTTCAGCAAATCCTTTCCCTACTTTTACAATAATTTTAGTAACAGATATTTTCTTCCAATTATCCCTTACTGCTTTTAACCCCTTAATAACCAATCCAACATTTTTCTAACCTTCATTAATTTTAAAATATTTTTTTAGATACTCTTTAAACTTCTTCCAATCTTCCTGCGCCGTATCGCTTCCCTGGTCACGGATTCTGCTCGTCATTTCTGCCAGTCCCATATAGTCTATCACCTTCAGTTGCCATTCTTCCACGGTGGGTAGTTCTTGCATCTTCCAGTACTTTGCGATGAGTATTCTTGCTGCTGTTGTAGCATACATAAAGAATGTTCTGTCTTTCTTTAGCACCGATTGGCCGACAATGCCCAGGAGAAAGGCCTCTGGTTTCTTAGGGAAAGTGTACCTGAGTACTTTTTTCAGTTCATTATAGATCATTTCCCAGAAGACCTTAATCTTTGGCCACGTCCACCAAAGGTGAAAGAATGTTCCTTCAATTTCTTTACATTTCCAACATTTATTATCGGGCAAGTGATAAATTTTTGCGAGCTTGACTGGGGTCATGTACCACCTGTATATCATTTTCATAATATTCTCTCTTAAGGCATTACACGCCGTAAATTTCATACCTGTGGTCCACAACCTTTCCCAGTCAGCAAACAAAATGTTATGACCAATGTCCTGTGCCCATTTAATCATTGCAGACTTAACCACTTCATCTTGTGTATTCCATTCCAACAACAAGCTATACATTCTTGACAGATTCTTAGTACTGGGTTCTAACAGTTCAGTCTCTAATTTTGATTTCTCCACCTGGAAGCCAATTTTTCTATCTGTTTTAAACACTTCCATTATTTGATGATAATGAAGCCAATCTCTCACTTTCCCTTTTAGTTTATCAAAACTTTGGAGTTTCCATCTGTCCCCCTCTTGTTCCAGAATTTCTCCATATCTTGGCCATTTGGCCTCCATATTAAGTTTTTTAATGGCCTTTGCCTCCATTGGTGACAACCACCTTGGAGTTTTACTTTCCAGCAAATCTTTATATCTAGTCCAGACATTATATAGTGCTTTCCTGACAATGTGGTTTTTGAACCCTTTATGAGCTTTGACCTTGTCGTACCAAAGATATGCATGCCACCCATACATATTGTTATACCCTTCCAAGTCCAAAATGTCAGTGTTCTCAAGAAGCATCCATTCTTTCAACCAGCAAAAAGCTGCTGATTCATAGTAAAGTTTTAAGTCCGGCAGGGCAAACCCCCCTCTGTCTTTCGCATCAGTTAATATCTTGTATTTTATTCTGGGCTTTTTGCCCTGCCAGACAAATTTAGATATATCTTTCTGCCACTTCTTGAAACAATCCATCTTGTCCAATATTTGCAAAGTTTGAAACAAAAACAACATTCTAGGCAACACATTCATCTTAATAACTGCTATTCGACCCAACAAGGAAAGCTTCATATTTGACCAAATTTCTAAATCTTTTTTGACTTCACTCCAACATTTCTCATAATTATCTTTAAATAGGTTCAAAATTTTTGAAGTCATATTAACACCCAGATATTTCACTTTCTTAACCACAGTTAACCCTGTCTCATTCTGAAACCTTTCTTTTTCCACTGATGTTAGGTTTTTCCCCAATACTTTCGTTTTTAATTTATTCAGCTTAAATCCTGCAACCTGACCAAAATCTTGAATTAACTCTAAAACTCTTTTTGTACTAGATTCAGGCTCTTGCAAAGTAAGTACCAGGTCATCTGCAAATGCTTTCAGTTTATAATGTTTCGCTCCGACCTGTACACCTTTAACCAACTGGTCCTTCCTAATCATGTTCAACAGCACCTCCAGGACCGATATAAAAAGCAATGGAGAGATTGGGCACCCCTGACGTGTCCCTTTTTCTATCTTTAGTTCATCTGTAACCACGTTATTTACAATAAGTTTTGCTTTTTGTTCAGAATATATCGCACCTATACCATTTTCAAACCCTTGGCCTACCCCCATCCCCCGAAGGTTCTTCATCATAAAATCCCAAGATATATTGTCAAAGGCTTTCTCGGCATCCACAAATATCAGGACTGCTTTAGTATTAATGTTCACTTCTAGCATTTCCAAGATATCTACAATGTTCCTTACATTGTCTGATAGATGTCTTTTCGGTAGAAAGCCTGCCTGATCTCTATGAATCTCCTCCATCAAAACTGTTTTCAACCTTTTTGCTAAAATGTCAGCAAAAATTTTGTAATCCACATTTAGTAAGGAAATAGGTCGGTAGTTTTTAAGTTGAGTCTTTTCCATCTCTGTCTTCGGTATAAGTGTGATGTATGCCTCTTTCCACGTGTCGGGTGCCTTTTCCCCCTCCAAAATCTCATTGCATACTTCCAGCAAAGGCTGTAATAACCCCTCCTTCAAAGTCTTATAATACCTGGAAGTAAGTCCGTCCGGTCCTGGAGGTTTACCCAATGTCATATTTTGAATGGCACCTTCTATTTCTTGTTCTGTTATTCTCTGATTCAAAATTTCTTTATTTTCCTGTGAAATCTTTCTCAGTCCATTTTTTTCCAAAAACGATTCTATTTCTGCATCACTCTGAGGACCTTGTTTATACAATTGACTGAAGTATCTCTGGAAACAATCTCTTATTTCTGTTGGTTTATAAATATTCCTTCCTTCCACTTCTAGATGTGTTACCGTATTTAATTTTTGTCTCTTCTTTATTTGCCAAGCCAGCAATTTCCCACATTTATCAGCTGATTCAAAAGTCTTTTGTCTCATTTGCTTAATTTTCCATTCTATTTCTTGATTTGTCAGCTCCATATATTGTGTCTGATATAATTTGATTTCTTTTAGTATATCCTGTGATTTTGGTTTTGATCTTAATTTCTTCTCTCCTTCTCTTATTTTTTCCAAAATTCTTTCTTTCTTCTCATTCTGGCTTTTCTTTTTGATTACATTCTGTTGTATCAAAAATCCTCTCATAACTGCCTTACTTGCGTCCCAGATTATTCTTTTCTCTACATTGGTCCTCATGTTGATTTCAAAATAGTCTTTCAAAGTTTTCATAGCCTTCTTGCAGAATTCCTCATCCCTAAACAAGGTGTCATTCATCCTCCATCTGAAGGTACCAGTTGTTGTTAAGTTCATTTCCATCCTTATCGCATTATGGTCGGAACCATCAGGTCATTTAAATGGCTTAAATATAGGCACCTACGGTACTCTACTGCAGAATATATCTCAATAAAGCTTAATTGGTTCCCCACATCTCTGTTGTGGCTACAAACTAAAGGAAGCTATGTTGTTTTGCAAAACCACAATGTCTGCACGCTGACAAGTGTACCTTTTTCTGCTGTCCTCCCTTGTAATCTATGGAGTTTTACATTAAAGGCTCAAGGAAAAAAAGTATTTATGGGCTTTTTACAGGCATCTGTGGACAAAAGGATGCACAACTAGATGGGCCCCAGGTCTGCTCCAGCAGGACTCTCATTCTGTTCTTACACCAGTAAAAACCAGCATCAATAACACCTTTTCTACACTATACCAGTCTATTACAGTTACACATTCATCTTCACAGGAAATATATTCAGATATTTAAAATACAGGATATGACATAACACAACATCTGTTTAAAAGAGTTTGTATGTGGCAGTTAAGTTATGCTTGCTTATGCCAAGACAATTAGAACGATAGCACTAGCAAATATTCTAGCCAGCCACCTTACACCAAACACCACCAGAAATTACAGCAGAAACTAAAATGCAAAGGCTGCACTGTAACCCACAAAACAAATGACTGCATACCCTTTTTGGGTGGTGTCAGCTACTATAAGTAACATCTGAAAGATCCCTATGAAATTTGTCAAAAATCAGAAAACCATGATGAGGTATTCAACACCCTTTCACAGTTGACCTACTATTTACCCATCAATTTAAATTTCCAGAGATACAGGCTAGGAGTTATGGGCATTGGGTAAAATTATTTATGGCTCTACGATAGTCTGGGACTTGAAGTCTAGGATAGCCTAACTTTCTGAAGACATTCTTTTACCAGTTGACTATCAGAAAGTATCATTTTGCTCCATTCTATATCCATAAATTTAGCCTGCAACTGTAATATTTAATCAAAATCCAAGAACAGAAAGGAATTTTTCTCTTCTCTTCCACCCAACATTAAAGACATGCCTACAGAAATTCCCAGTCCATATACTGTTTCATGGAATGGTCTCAAGAACTAAAAGACTAAAGTGAAGCAGCGATGGGGATGATCAGTGCCTAAACAATGGTAGACCTGCAAAGAATCTTACCTACAACTAGTTTCATCATGGAAGAATCTCCAGAAGTGAAGCGTACCTTCGTCTCTAAAAGCTTACACCATACTGAACGTATTAAGTCTTTTAAAGTGCCCAAAGCCTCTTTTGCTGTTTTATTCATGGAAGAAAGATAGAATACAAATATACTGTATACACAAACAAGTGAGGTGGCATGTGAGTGTTTATATAAAGGACCCCTGGACGGTTAAGTCCAGTCAAAGGCGACTATGGGGTTGCGGTGCTCATCTTGCTTTCAGGCCGAGGGAGCCAGTGTTTGCCCACAGACAGCTTTGCCAGCATGACTAAACCGCTTCTTGCGCAACGGGACACCATGACGAGTGCCAGAGTGCACGAAAACACCGTTTACCTTCCCACCGCTGTGCTACTTATTTATCTACTTGAAATGGTGTGCTTTTGAACTGCTAGTTTGGCAGGAGCTGGGACAGAGCAACAGGAGCTCGCCCCATTGTGTGGATTCGAACCACCGACCTTCCGAATGGCAAGCCCAAGAGGCTCAGTGGTTTAGACCACAGTGCCACCCCCCCCATGTGTAAACACACACGCACAAAACCACGTGTGCACATAAATGCCATGTGTGCTGCAGAGAGGCGATTTCCAAGCCTACCTGCTTGTCATGCAACAACATTTCAAATCACGACCCATCTTGGCCATTCAGAAATCTGCCGCCGCCATCATCATCTACGGAAAGGCGATGTTCCTTTTTGTGTGGCTCGTCTGGGTGGGCCTTTGCTTTGCTTCCTCCCTTCCCTCTGTCTTTAGGAGCATCAGCCAGCAACACACCTTACCATGCACCTTCCCTACTAACTCCCTCCTCAGCACCACCACCCAAGTCGCGCCTCCAGGATGCTCTTCAAAGCACCTCACCTTCTCCCTTCCTCCGCTTACAGAGTGCGGGCACGCGCGCGCGCGCGCCCCCGGCCGACCCCGTGACTTTCCTCCTTTGCTCCTCCATCTCCTCCTCAGTGAAGCGCAGGCCGGCCGGCTGAGGAGGAGCAGCAGCAGCGGGCAGGAAGGCATCCCGCGCGGACTCCCACATCGCGTCAACCGCCGGCTCTGAGAGGAGAGGGAGGAGCCGGAAGAGAAAGGGGAGGATGGAAGGAGCCTTTTCTCTCTCTCTCTCTCTCTCTCTCTCCCCCCCCTCCACGCCGTTCTCTCCCCCACCCCCCCTTGACCCACAAACCTATTTCCCTCGGCCGGCCTGGCGAATAAGCGTTACCTGAAGTGACCGGCCAGGGAACACCGGCAGCACCAAACCGTCATGAGGGATTAACGGGGGTGGGGAGGGGGAGGGGGAAGAGAAGAAGCGTCGAGGCGGCAGATGGGGGATGTGGCCGTTGCTGCTGCTGCTGCTCTTCCTCCGCCGCCGCCTCTTGTTCTCCCTCCCGCCGCCGCCGCCGCACTGGGGGCCGCTGTCGGCCGGGCGCCTCTCCTCCTCCTCCCTCCCGCCTTCTTGCCTCACATGCGGCACTAGGCCAGTCACACGGGAGCGAGGGAGGAGCCTCCGCCTGGCACCGGCGGCGGCGGCGGCGGAGGAAGGGGAGGGAGGCGCCTCAGCCCCCCGCCAACGCCTTCCTCGCGGTCCTCCGCGGAGGAGCCGCTACTCCGAGGGGGGCGGGGAAAGGAGCACCGCTCTCCCCAACAACGGCCGCTGCCGCTGCTGCTTGACGGCGACACCATGTGATAAGAGATGAAAGTCGGCGGCGAGCGGGAAATGATGGGGGTTGCGCAGTAGATACGCCGCGCACATAGCGAGGTCGCGAGGGAGTCGAAAGTTGGGGGGGGGGAGGAATGCATCGGGGTTTATCGACGCCTCGTTGGTTTCCATAAGTGGCACCGTTTCCTTAGTTTCTGTCCACCCCCTCCCAAAATAAACTCGGCCGGATGTCACCGTCTCTCTACACGCTTCTTCTTTTCAACACCCTCTTCCCCATTTCCGAACAATGTTCTCACGTGTAGGCACGCGGAGCCTGAGGGAGCCGGTGCAAATAGTGCTGCTGCTGTAGTTTTACAGCTGAAATGGTGGTCCTTATTATTTATGATTTTCAGTTTCATACATGTCAATAATTTTACAGTCATTTTGACATTTCAAAACTCGACTTCCTTCCCCCTCTTTCTGCGGTTTCTTAATCCCCCCCCCGCATATTCCAAATTAACATTTCCTCATTTATTCATTTGCTTTAAATGTATACTCTTATAAAAACTGCAGGTTATTGCAGTAATCCTGCAGTAATCCTTTTCTGTTTACAGTTTATTTGTAAACATTCAATAAACCATTTCCATTCTTATATAAAAAGTTTGTTATCTTGATTTCTTATTTTTCCGGTAAGTTTCGTCATTTCTGCATATTCCATAAGCTTTTTGTATCCATTCTTCTTTCACTGGGACTTCTTTCCGTTTTGGGAGAAGTGAAATTCTTGCTGCTGTAGTTGCATGCATGAATAAATTTATATACTGTTTGAGTAGTGCTGTCCCTATATTGTAATTCCCAAAAGGATCTTTTTAAGCACCTTTATCTCTTTCCCATTGTCCTCCTGGGCAGGTGGAAGCCTCCATGAGAGAGCACCTGGGCTTCTGGGTCCTGAATGTCCCCTGCCTGACATCTTGTGCCTCATTCCCAGCTATTAAGTGGTGGACATCAGCTGAAGTATCATTGACAGATAACAGTGCTTTTCCACTAAGTAATTTGGGTTGTCAGTGGGGCATCGTCCCACATGTGTCAGATGATACTTAGTGGAACCTTTGAGAGAGGAAACAGCATTTAAGGTGAAGGTTGTGTTCCCCACCAACTCTCACCATTTCTGACTCCACCACTTCCTGCAGGATGTGTGGGTCAAAGACACCGGGCTGCTGCGAGTTCCTCAGCTGTCTTGCACGTATTAGTGCAGAGATAATCACAAAAGTATACCCATTACAGAAGTTAAGTATTCTGCCAAATGCCAAACCAATGATCAGAGAACTTCTAGAAGTTACCCACTGCTGGTAATGGCTCTCCCCCCCCCCCATTTTAATCCTGATCTCCCTAACTTTTTTCTTCTCGGAGCGATGCAATCACCCAATCACAAGGTGGTTGTGTAAAATTTAGCATTGATTGTGAGCTTTTTAAATAAATTGTATCCTAGTGGGGAAAAATCTGTTAGATGCACAATTATTTAGGAACCAGACCAGTTCTTGACCAAAACTATTAGCACCACCATAGAATATCACATTTGCATCTTCCCTGGATCATCTGGATATCAGTGACAAAATAACGCGCCAGTTATACTAGCATTTTACAAGCAAGAGGGTAGCCCTGCCTGACAAAGCATCTCAGATGTCATGGACTGGTTGGAGGCAGAAGAATGGTGGGAGGAACCAGCTGAGGAACCTCCAAGGGAAGAAGGCTCAAAGCCTAGGGAGTGGTGGTGGGATGGCAATGAGTGGTCAGAGGAAGAAGACTGGGAGAAGAAGGTGTCGGAAGCTGAAGAGGTAACTGAGCTGGCAAAGTCTTGTGTCAGAGAGAAGTCCAGAAGAAGCAGGAGAGGAGGGAGGCCAAGAGGTAGAGATAAGTCAGGCTGGTATAGAAGCTCACGTCTCTCCCTCCTGTACCATGCTCCTCTCCTCCCCCAGGCTCCCAGGACCAAGAGAGGCATGAAGTGAAAGGAGCAAAGGCACACAGGTGCAGTCCCAGATTGCTTGGGGAAAACCCTGGAGAGGAGGGGACTTAGGCAGAGTTGCTGTGCTCATTAGGCCTGGCACCCCTGTGAAGATCCTGGTTTTTTTCTCATAAAGAGCTGACTTCACTTATTCTGATTATTGCTGCCTCACTCCTGACATCAACTGCAGCGGCAAATAAGGTAAAAAGCAAGTTAGGCAGTTGTGTGATTTTGGCAGCAGGGCAAGGAGGCCAAGGTAACCAAAATCTGTATGTTTTAGTGACCAGCATAGGAGGGTAGCTGACTGAACCACAGCTACACAGTGGAAATGGTCATAACCTGTTTTATTAAAAAAAATTAAAGATTGATTGAATTAAAAGAGTTTTTACAAACCTATATTCAGGAAGTTTAAATGCAAATAAGTCATGGGAATATAAATGCTTCCCTGGTGAAGAATAAATCCATTATTCTACTATCCCTTGTAGTACAGTTTATCCTTTTTTTCTAAAATTCTCTGTGTATTTGATTTCCTGGCACATGTACTGGGGGATTATTAGATTCAATGTCTAATTGTTCCTTTCCCAATGCTGTAAACAGAACAGCAGTGTTTTAGTCTGCCATGCAAGTTCCTGAGCGATATGCTGTGTTCAGTGAATTCCTCTGCATTTGTTCATCTTTATATCACACGGAATATAAGCGACAAAGCGATGGGACTTAAAAGTATTAAGATTACGGCATTAAAATAAAAAAACCCTAAAGGGCTATGAACGTTATCCATTACTGTTTTTCAGTAAAATTTGTAGCCTACTCTTTAAACACAAATGCTAGCACAAATAGTCAAATACTATGGTTGATCAGTCCTAAAAAACAGAACCTTTAACACATTTTCTTGTAAGTTTTGTTTCAAGATAATAATTTGGATTGAATGAATCCTAATGGAATTTTAATTGAGCAATTTATGAAAAACAAGGACTTACTAGTTTGCTCTTACAGCCTCCTGTTCAAGTTTAAGGGTTAATAGGGTCATCTTCACACATATTTTAGATTGGCGAATAGGGTTCAACAAGTTGGACCTGTAATAAAATGTTGACACAGTGGAGTTCTTCTGTGTTCAAGCCATGCCATTTTCCAGGGCATTCTATTCTATCCCCTATTTCCTGGCCTCTTCCTTCTCTCCAATAGTGAGCCAACATTCTGTTTTGGCTACCAATGCTTTGGCTCTGGGAGAATACATTTGATAGCCAGCATAGAGAGCCTTGTCAGTGTCAGCACCAGCTCTTTGCACTGGATTTTTGGATCGGGCTAATGTTTAAATAACTTGGCTTCAAGGCTCCCACTTCGCAAGTGGGAAGCCAGACCCAATATGGGTAGTTCAAAAGTGATGCAGAGGTTGTATTACATTCAATAATGTAAAAAGTGACTGATAACAATGTGAAAAGTAAATTAAGTAGTCTAGGCTCTTCTGCAGTGAATTGGTTTGTGGAGTAGAGATTGCACAATAACATAGTATTGTAGATTTGCTGCTAAGGAAAGGTGTTAATACTTGTATCTTGCACTAACAAAGCAGATTTATTGTGTAAATAATATGGTTGTGTGGCAAGGCTTCATGTTTATAAATAAATAAATAAATAATCCCCAAACCAATTGCAGGAATTGGCCCTTTAGTTACATAAAAACAAGCAGCCTGGTTAAAAATAGAAATGAACACTGTCTGTCATTCCATAAACAAATCCTTTCCACTACAGACGAGACATTTTTGTAGCTCCAACAATAGATGCCTTTATTTACCATTCAATAACAGTAGAAAGGTCAAAACCATTGCTTTCTTTCCACTATTTTTAATTGGTAAGCACTTTTGATTCCCCCCCCCCCAAAGGATCACTTTCTATTAAATTGATTAACACAATATAAATGGCTGAATAATTGCATCTTCCTAAGGATCAAAGGTCTGTTCATCGAAAACCACCATGAGCGAAAACCTATGCAGCTAAGCCTGCAGTCCCAAACACATTTACTTAGGGAGTAAGCTTCACTGAACAGCTTCTAGTGGGTTCAGCTTCTAGTACACCACTTGCATTATTGTGTGTTGGTTTTGTGTTTGCGTTGCTCCAAGCCAGGCACGAATTCAGCGGCGCTTGCATAAATCACTGCCACTTTCTTTTCCCTCATCACTGCCACTTTCTTTCCTCCACTTTTCCTTTTCCCAACAATGGAAGGAAACCTCTAATATACCAATAGAGGCTTGGGTTAATAATATCTGGAGTATTGCTCTATCAGAATGCCACACATACCATTGGTGACTAATCAAGCACATCTCCAAAAAAGATAGCTTTGATACTATCTGGTCTCTCCTTTTCTCTTTCATTGAAGAACAACAGGATATTTTAATACCGTCATCAACACAGAGGTGTCTGTGGAGGGGATATATTCATTGAAAATGTTAGCTTTGTCCCCTTTTCAAAAAAAGGAACCTACCTGTTTGTTAAGTCTGCCACCAGAGGTCATTCTCTCTGTATATCCCTGCCACTCTGTAGGCTTTCTTAATAATAATGAATATTATTTACAAGCTGCTATGTGACAGGGTGCCTGGAGAGCCACATTATAGACATGCTTTTTTAAAAAAAAATCCCCATGATTTTAACTGATTTTATATCTACTGCTTTTTGTATTTTTACTGTTGCTACGATAATTGCCATTGTTTCTGATGTTTTGATCTGTTTCATTTTTTTTTTATAGTTCTATTTTGCAGGCTATCTTGAAAATCTAGATTAATAAGATTCTGGAAGAAGAAGAAGAAGAAGAAGAAGAAGAAGAAGAAGAAGAAGAAGAAGAAGAAGAAGAAGAAGAAGAAGGGGAACAATTTCTCCACCTAGCAATTACTTCTGCTGCTGAGGAGGTTTCCCCAAACTCATAATACTCCTTTGGCATCATATATTTTTTATAAGCAATATGAAAGCTTTCTGCAAGAGATAAGGGACAGCTCATAAAAGCATAATATGCATTTCCCCCTAATGAAAGTAGTTTCATTCCAGTGGTGGCAGGTTTTATTCCAATAGC